CTATTCTATTCTATTCTATTCTATTCTATTCTATTCTATTCTATTCTATTATTCTATTCTATTCTATTCTTTTCTATTCTATTCTATTCTATTTTATTCTATTCTATTCTATTCTGTTCTATTTTGTTATATTCTATTCTATTCTAGAATGTTCCTTTGCCTGATAGTTGTAACACTTCTCTCTGAGATAGCTGGGATCATTTCTCTCAAAGTTCTGGATATCACGGTAAACAAACTGGTTAAAAGTTCTGGATATTACGGTAAACAAACTAGTTAAAAGTTCTGGATATCACGGTAAACAAACTAGTTAGTTCTGGATATCATGGTAAACAAACTAGTTGTAAGTTCTGGATATCACGGTAAACAAACTAGTTAAAAGTTCTAGATATCACGGTAAACAAACTAGTTAAAAGTTCTGGATATTACCGTAAACAAACTACTTAAAAGTTCTAGATATCACGGTAAACAAACTAGTTAAAAGTTCTGGATATTACCGTAAACAAACTACTTAAAAGTTCTAGATATCACGGTAAACAAACTAGTTAAAAGTTCTGGATATTACGGTAAACAAGCTTGTTTAAAGTTCTGGATATCAAGGTAAACAAACTTGTTTAAAGCGCAGGATATTACAGAAAACAAACAGTAAACGGTAAACAAACTAGTTAAAAGTTCTGGATATTACGATAAACAAACTTGTTTAAAGCTCTGGATATCAAGGTAAACAAACTTGTTTAAAGTTCTGGATATCATGGTAAACAAACTTGTTTAAAGTTTTGGATATGACGGTAAACAAACTTGTTTAAAGCTCTGGATATCACAGTAAACAAACTTGTTTAAAGTTCTGGATATCACGGTAAACAAAATAGTTTGAATTTTTGGATATGACGGTAAACAAACTTGGTTAAAGTTCTGGATATCACTGTAAACAAATTTTAGATAAATAGATAAAAAGATAGATATATAAGGAAAATTAGTATATATATAAACTTTAATGTCTATATATATATATATATATACAGGGTGTCTTAAAAAACGGGGAATAAGGGTCTACAGACTCGTTTAAAATCGGATTTTCAAGATTGAAACCATTTTTAAAATCTACTTACAATTTCTGATTCCATGGGGGCTAGAAGATCAAAAAATGACAATTTAAAAGGCTCCAAAGTTTCCAACTGGAAATAAAGAATTTCCGTTTGTACATAAGGGCAGACTTGTTTGTCATCGGATTTTAAAGATTGAGACAATTTTTGATGTCTACGTACAATTTCCAAGTCAATGAGTCCATTTTTTGGCTTGTACTGTCGTAAAATGTAACCTAACATTGAATATAAAATTGTGCAAACGGATATTGTCTTTTACTTTTCACTTCACTCCAGTTGGAAACTTTAGGAGCCTATAAAATTGTTACTTTTAAATTTACAAGACTAAAATTGGACACGTTAAATCGGAAATTGTACGTAGATGTAAAAAATGGTCTAAATCTTGTAGACCCTTATCCAAAATTTTTGAAACGGCGATTATCTTATAAAAAAGGAAATTGAAAAGATAACATCATACTTGTTGATAATATGTAATCAGTTTAAACAAAAAACATAATAAGATTAACTTGAAACAAAGAAGGAATTACCAAGAAAAAAATAGAAGAAAAATATCCAGCTTTTTAAAATTGTTACTAAAACCATAACCGCAAAAACGTATTAATACTGAGAAAATTTGATTAGAAAATCCATTACGTAAATTACAAAGCAGATTATTAACGGATAAGTGATGTCCCGCCATCACGCTTTTAAAGGGACTGTAAGCGTAATTTCGTGTAACCCTCAATGCAAAATGGAAATAGCCTATTCAGAACGGTACCCTTGAAACCTTTGTCTGATTTATAAGTGGAAGATGCCGTTGTTCTATGTTTCAAATTGTTAAATTGTCATGTTCTCCTGCAGTACAGAAACGCAAAAGTAAGTTCAGTAGAGAACACACAATTAAAAACAATTAGTTCATAAACATTTAATACTAGATCAGACAAAGTTTTTAAGGGTACCGTTGTGAATCGGAAATTGACATCTGTCCACGGAGGGTTGACTCGAAATTACGCTTACAGTGAAGTTTAAATCTTAAACATGTCTTACTTGCCAAGCTAAGATGAATGAACACTTGCACGGCCGCGGAATGGTTTGTTCCCTAACGATTCCGCATATTCCGTTTCCGGAAAAATAAATGTAAACAGTAGTAGGACATTCCAGGACGCATTTCTGTGCTGTAATTCTACGCAATTTTATATATTTTTTTAAAAAATCATGCGTTAGTTCATGATTATCACATAATTAAACCTAATTACTTGACTAAGTCATCCATGGAAATTTTCTTTTTTGTAAAAAGAAATTCAACGTATGAATAATTTTCAGGAACAAACAAAAACAGGATCGATTTTTTTCTTAAATATTTTTTTGTTTTAAACAGATTTTTTGCACTTACGATTTTTTATGTCTATTTTTCAGCATAACTTGCACATGTAGATGAAAATCCCTATTTTTTGATAGAACATAAAACAGTCTTTGTGCTTTTGCTGCAGGAAAACCAATACAAATTTACAGAATTAAGCACTTTTTAATTGATAAAAAACTGTCTTCCACATTATATTGAGCAGATAAAGGCAAGAGTACCGTGCAGGGGAAGGTATCTTGAAATTATTTTACACAAATGTTTGCTGAAGAATGTAAAATCAGAATTCTAGTACCTTATGGTAGTAAAACTATATTGCGTAATCCTGGTCATACACCTGGGCTAACATTACGCATTTTTTACGCTTACCGTAATTAACAGAGCACCAGAGGAACTAGAGTTGCGTAATATATAGACTAGAATTTACGGTTCAGGGGTGGGGGGAGGTTATAGGAGACATTGGATAATCGTTAAACCATTGTCGAAAGGGAGGGAGGGGGTTAGCATGTGTCGGAGGGGTGAGGGGGGGAAACCCGGCATGTCAGTGATAAGTGGTTTAGTGTGGACTATTTATAACGTTATTAAATCTGAAAGACATGATTTAAATTTTATTTTAAAAATCATAATATTTGTTCATTAAACATTTTTAGTAGGGTTTACATTATATTTTATAGTTTTATAGTTTGTTATACGGATTATTTTGATGTCAGCTAAACCTCTATTTATTCGATTCGAAAAAAATAGCTTTTAAAACAAATAAAATCAAACAGTTTTTACCCTTTATGTCATTTATAGAATTTTTAAGTTAAACATATTTATCTTTTTATTAAAGCACCATTGGAAGTAAGAGTCAGACACAATTTGAGAAGACATTTAAAGGGACCGTTCACTTATTTGGGTAATTTCAGGGTAAACTGAACTGCCTATTCGCTCTTGATTGGTAATAGTCTTACTTTTCAAAGACAACTGTGGCCGGAGAAAAAGCCGATTTTTCGTTCAGAATTTGAGCGGAAAGGGACGGTCCCTCTCTATAGACACTATTTGATGTTTTTTTCAGTAACAGCAGCCCAATAACATTTAAATTTATTATATTTGAATGTTATTATGTGTTCGTTATTATGTACTAAAATATGAAAACTTTTGATATTTGAGTTAGCAAGAAATTTACATTTTTCGCATTAAAACATGTAAAATGTGTATACAAAGACGACGTCTCTACGACAATCAATTAATCATTACTCGTATTTAGGTTCGTAGATTTTGTAAATTTTTTCCCGCATGTGCACAACTTTTCATTTGTCATGCCGCGTTCAATGCAGCTTTTTACACAGGCAATACACAATTTTGAATGCGATAAAATAGTGTTATTTTAGAAATAGAAAGTTAAAAAACAACAAAAATTAAAAAAATAATGACATTAACAATTTACGATTAGATACTACAGTTTAATTTTATATTCGAAATTTATTTTGATCCACAACATACTGAAAAAAACATCAATTAGTGTCTATAGAGAGGGACCGTCCCTTTGCGCTCGAATTCTGAACGAAAAATCGGCTTTTTCTCCGGCCACAGTTGTCTTTGAAAAGTAAGACTATTACTAATCAACAGCGAATAGGCTGTTTAGTTTACCCTGAAATTACCCAAATAAGTGAACGGTCCCTTTAATAAAATCAAGAGTAGTGGTATGACACGTGGTATATTTGGTATATTCGAAAATTATGGATTTTTAATGATTCACGAATTTAGCTCTGAACTTTAAAACTCAAAGTATATTGTATGCATTTGACAAAGAAAGTAAGCAAACTTAAAGGGACTTGTAGTTTCATGTGACCCTAGAATCTAGATTCATTTAAATAGTGTCATGCTTCATTCACAATTGGTAACCTTTAATCGGGTCAAATGTATGTTCAGATGCAGGTTTGAAGGGTTAAGCCGTTGTGAAATAGAGATACCCCTCTCAGTAATTGAAGGGTAACTTTGATTATCTTTGCTGGCCCTTTAAAGAGAATGTACGCATTATTTTAAAGAGAATAATAAGTAGGATATCAATGTTTTTTAACGATTTCAAAGCGAGCTAACATTTTGAGTATTATGTTTAGTATTCCAAACTGTTTTTGCATGGACTGAATTACTGACAACTTGTAAATTTTAATATTTATCAATATCTTGAAAAATCAAACAATATTTTGAACTTTATTCTCCTTGTTTTAAAGGGACTGTAAGCTCAATTTTAAGTAATTCTGCACAAAGATGGCAATGTCCGATTTAGAATAATCAGTTTTCAAAATTATAAAGATTGATATTAAATACATGTTTGATCAGACAAAGCCATCTTTGCATGGAGGGTCACTTGAAAATACACTAACAATCCCTTTAATTATCATAAATTTGAATGGAAATATCTTATTCTCATTATAGAGAGGATTAGAACAAGTTTGTTGAAGGAGAAAGGATAAACCCTAATTTCTAAATCTGATCTTTAACAATAAGAATATTCTATAGATTATTCTCAAGATAAATCTATTCTAATGCATAGACTCTTATCAGAAAATACATAGTACATAAATATAGTATTTAAATATAAAATGATATACATTATACATATAGATGCATCGTTTATATTCGGCTGCATAGGATGCATAGATACAGACAAGTTTATATTCGGCTGCATAGAATGCATAGATACAGACAAGTTTATATTTTGTTGCATAGGATACATAGATACAGACAAGTTTATATATGGTTGCAAAGGATGCATAAATACAGACAAGTTTATATTCGACTGGATATTGTTAGAATTGATCAATTTTACGAATAGAAAAAACTACATCTTCTCATTTTCTCTTCAGATTCAGATCGAAAAAGAACAATTAACAGTGACAAAGTATCTTTTTAAAAAGACAAAAAAAAATGTATTTAAAAAGAATGTTTTTCTCTCCTACTGTTTTTGTCTGTTTTTGTTGAAGAGCTAAATATTTGTTTGTTCAAGGTGTTTTGTTCTTTAATTACTACGCAGAATAAGAAACCAGTCAAAATAAGGTTTTCTTCAAAGGGAAACTTGTTTAGTTAGCGAGAATTGATTGTATTCATTAGGAAATGTTGGAAAAAAGTTTTTTTTAAAAGAATTTTATTACATTATTTATGCCCGATCGGTTCAGTCGTTTTGACGTTTCTTGGAAACAAACGGACGGAAACCCAGACAAGGAAAGTATATATAACTAGGCTTTCAGGGCGCTTCGCGCCCATCTTCTATTTCAATTGCTAACGTTTTCTCTTACATTGTAAAACAAAAATAAAATATTTTGCATATTTTAAAAAAATCGTGTATTTTCAAAATTTAATGAAAATCGAATTTTGTTTGAGGACAATTTTTTGAAATTTTGACCATCCATTAACCTTCCTTAGGGTCATGTGAGGTCCCACACAAAATTTGGGCCCAATCGTTTCTTTGATTTTGACGTTTATTGGATACAAACAGACAGACTGACAAGCAAAGTATACAAAAGAAAGAAGAAGGTTTGGGAATTAGCAAATATTATATTAAAATCAGAGTAATTATATCTCAGGTTTTTCAGATTTGTATCAATCAATCTATCAAAATGATACTAAAATTATTTTCCTGTGTAATTACATCTGGAATGACTTCCCGGAATTGAAGTTCAAACTCATGGATAAACAATCGTACATTTAGAACACTAGATCCCGTCTTTTCAAGATTTAGAGGTTTTTCATTCATAACAGCCCTGAGGAAGAGGTCCAAAGAAGTTACAAGCATGCTCTCTCTCTCTGTCTTGAAAATCAACGCTGCCTGCGCGGAACTCCTTTGGAACGAAAAACCTATGAACCTTGAAAAGACGACATCTAATGTTCTAAATGTACGTAAATTGTTGTTAATCTATCTTCAAACTTAACAGATTGAAGACATATCATATATAGATATTAGATATATATGATATCAGATCTATACATATTTTCAACCCTAGAAGAAGACGACAGATGCCGCAACTCCGCGACGTTTTTTCTTCTCAGCTACAGGGTGTCCCACGAAACATGACAGTTGGTAAATAGTTTAGAGAGTCTTTTTCCATTATTTGTTCAGTTGTTTGATACCATCGATCAATGAAAATATTATATGGGAGTCAAGTTATATTAAAATTGATTTAAAAGTAAAATATATTTAAGCAAAAGATTTGTTTAACTAAAATTAACTATTTATTAAATGTCATGTTTCGTGGGACACCCTGTAAGAATATTGAATATTACTTTTTTACCAGATGTAACATCAATCCATAAATTAGAAAAAATTAAGATCATATCCCCACAGTAGTTGACGACTATCTGAATAACCATTTTAAAGGGACTTACGCATAATGGGATGTAAGAGACCTTTAAAAGCGTTTCACGGACTTTAAAATAAATGAGATATATTCATGTTTTTTTCATTGAAAAAAAAAATTCTTAATTAGTTTGGTGCGTCACTTAAAATCCAAACGACAGACTATTCTAGAAAACTTCTAGATTTCATAGTATTAGAAAAACATATTTTTAATTTCCCTCGGTAGACTATAGACTCTTATCTGTACTTTCTCTCTAAAACAAAATACTCTAATTCTATAAACTTTAAAACAAAGTTAGAATATATGCAAAATATTCTAAACTTTAAATATTTACAAAAAAAACTTTAAGAAAGTTTTGAATCTCTATTTTAGTATTTGTTTGAATAATTTTTACCATTCATGAATATAGAACTTTACTCCCTTTTTCAACTTTTACTGTTCTAATTCCTTTTTTGAATCGTCGCGTTAAAAAAAATAAAATATTATTCTCCATATTTTTAAAGATCATTCTTCGCATTTTCATGTATTAAAGAAGCAATTTTTACTTTCTAAGTTTTCTTTTCTGCAATCATACTTCTAAATTCAAGTCTGGTACTGAATGCAAGAACAAAGAACAAAATTAAAATCAATCAAAAAGTTCAAAACAATCTTGGAAATGCAGAGTTTAGGTATTAACAAAAGAGCCTACTTTTTTTTTAACGCTTGCTAAATAAAACGACATTTTGAAAAACTCTAAGATTTTAAAATCCCAAAAATTTGATATTTCAAATTATAAATTCTGTTAGACCAAATAAAAAGGTTTAGACATTAGGTTGCAAAGATATAGGGATAAAAAACTTGTTGAGTTTGTTGCAATAACTAAATTTCTTTATTGCACAATGAATAATTGAAATTCTTTCAGCTATTATTGACCCTTCATCAGTCATCCTTATTCGTCTTAAGAAATCTATTTTTTAGGGCTTCATTAAAAAAATACGAACAAAAAGAAAAAGAAAACAAAAATACTAGAAATCAATCTTCACAACTTGCAATTTCAGAACCTTCAACTCGAAATAAATCATTTATTCAAGTTTAGAATTGAAAATATATTCAAACTTTTATCAACAGGCACTGATATAGTAGTGTAGTGTAGTGTAGTGTAGTGTAGTGTAGTGTAGTGTAGTGTAGTGTAGTGTAGTGTAGTGTAGTGTAGTGTAGTGTAGTGTAGTGTAGTGTAGTGTAGTGTAGTGTAGTGTAGTGTAGTGTAGTGTAGTGTAGTGTAGTGGAAGATAGTGTAGTGTATTCGGAAAATCAAAAGAAATGCATATTCGAAAATCGAAAGATAAATTTCAAAGTTCTGAAAAAGAGAAAAATTGCCTAACCATTAAATATATTTATTCTTTGAATAAAAAAAAAACTAAAAAAATTACGTTAAAGAAGAAAAGAATAGATTAAAATCCATGAAAGTACTCATCAACGATTTCTCCATATTTCGGAATTTTTCCAGAAAATGAAAATAAGAATACAATGTAAAAAAACACATATCTTTTGGTACCTAGGAGTTAGGACCGAGCCGGAGGCAAATTTATTATTTATTTTTGTTAAAAATGTTTGTATTTTTATTTTATTGACAAGTATTAGCAAAGCAAATTCATCCGTTTAAATATTATACATATTATACCAGGGGAACCAGGGGAACCAGGGGAACCAGGGGAACCAGGGGAACCACGGGAACCAGGGGAACCAGGGGAACTAGGGGAACCAGGGCAACCAAGGAAACCAGGGGAACCATAGGGACCATGGGAACCAGGGGAGTCAGGGGTACCAGAGGAACCAAGNACCAGGGAACCAGGGAACCAGGGAACTAGGGGAACCAGGGGAATTAGGGGAACTAGGGGAATCAGGGGAACCAGGGAACTGTGGAACCATGGAACCAGGAGAACCAAGGAACCAGGGAACAATGGAACAAGTGAATCAGTGACTTAGGAACCAGGGAACTAGGGAACCAGGGAACCAGGGAACCAGGGAACTAGGGAACTAGGGAACCAGGGAACCAGGGAACCAGGTAACTAGGGAACTAGGGAACCAGGGAACTAGGGAACAAGTGGAAACAAGGAACCAGTTAACTAGTGAACCAGGGGAACCAGGGAACCAGTAAACCTGGGAACCAGGGAGCCAAGAAACCAGGGATCAAGGGAACCAGGGGGGGGGACTAGGAAACCAAGGAACCAAGGAACTAATAATAAATGTTTAGTTTGAGAATGTACTAGAGGAGGGATGGAGTGAAGTGAACCAAGGAACAAGAAACCTCGTCCAACATCATGTAAGAGATCTATTTATTTACTTTTTAGGATTTTGTGCCATAACGAATTAACTCAAATTTATTTATCCATATCTTTGTAACTTGATTGATGTAAGTATTTGATATTTCAAACGTAGATTATTTTATTCAACAGAATTCATAGTTTGAAATATCTAAGGTCTCTCGCTCTCACGTTGCTCTGCAGAATATGGTGTAAAATATTTAATAGTTCGTTCTTCTATTGAATTCCATAATTGGTCAAAATTCTGGAAAAGCCGCCAATTAGGATAAATATAATGGTTAATGATATCAATGGACACTGGGCAGACATATTTATAAGAAAAGAAAATGCAGGGATGATATTTGAGCAATTTAATATCTGGTTTCAAATTAGACTTGCAACTTTTATGCTTTAGTTCACTTCAGTTTCAGATTTAATATTTAATTTAATTAATAATATGTCCCACGAAACATAACAGTTGGTAAATAGTTTAGAGAGTCTTTTTCCATTATTTGTTTAGTTGTTTGATACCATAGATCAATGAAAATATTATATGGGAGTCAAGTTATATTAAAATTGATTTCAAAGTAAAATATATTTAAGCAAAAGATTTGTTTAACTAAAATTAACTATTTATTAAATGTCATGTTTCGTGGGACACCCTTTATAGTAATATACATAAACAGACGGCAAAACTGAACTACTGAATCATAAAGTATAACATTTTATTTTGATTTCTCTTCACCAAGGGCAGAATGAACGTGTCCTGATGAAAAAATTAGAAATGTGACGGCAAGATGCTCAAAGTGTAAATATGGATCACAAGTGAACCATTCAAAAAACATTTACACATACAAATAAAAACTGCCAAATCATTTATTGCAGACAAAGTTTTGGATTGAGCTGTAAAAGGTGAAAAATAAATTTCTTTCCTCTTTTTCCTTTTTTTCAATTTTAGTTTACTTGTTCTATTTTTTTTTGTCTCAAATGAGGNACACACACTCTTTTGGTACAGACACACACACACATGACGTTTCCGCCCCCTGGTAAGAAAGTTACAAAACGTGATTTGGCACAGACCTGACATTGTGTTTTATGCCTTCTCAGCTCTTTTCTAGCTTCTAAACTGTTCGAATACGTCGGAGCAATGTGAGTAGAACCCCTAGTTAGATGAGTCCTCAGGGTGACCAAGTACAGTGAAACCCTTAATAACGAATACATCGAAAGAATTAATCAAATGTCGTATTCTTCACTTTCTGATAATGGAATGTTGCAGATATTCATGGCTATTTCTTTATTTTCACAAATACTGAAATTTACGTAATATAATATAAAAATCATTAAAAAATTGTCAAGACGACATTTGATAAAGTCTTCCGATGTATTCGTTATTAAGGGTTTCACTGTATAAAAAATGAAAAATCCAATAAAAATCCTCTTCATCCACTGAATGAAAATTGAAAAGCCAAAAATTTGGAACAATTTTTAAGGAAAGGTTTGACAATTAATTCAATATTCACCAAACATAAATTAGATTTTTAAAACAAAAATAGGGATAAATAATAGTTTTTAGACAAATAATATATTTTTTAGTGTTAATTATTGTTTTTCTGGTACAGTTCTTTTCTCTTATACGATCTATAAAATAAAAAATATCAAAATGAGTGAGTTCTTACTTATATTATCATTGGTTTACAATACATAACAACAATTTAGAGTTCAGAGTAAACTCGTACTGTACACTATACAGTACAGTACAATACAGTGTACAAGTGCTCATTTTTCAGTTCCCTGCATGTGCTGGAGAGTGGTAAACCAGTACCGACATTTTCTCCCAGAACAAAAATTCAATCCAAGATATTTTATGAAACTCAGTTTTAGGATGAAAATTCAGATCTTAATCTCTGTATTTGTGGTTACATTAAACTCTCCGGGTTGTTACGGACAATTCGGCTCCGGGTTCAGAAGCTCTTTCTCTTCATTTGGCTCCTCCTCCTCATTCAAGCCTGAAATTGAACCAGAATCCTCCTCCCCCATTCAGGTATTAGAATTGAGGACTGGAAATTTCATAATATGGACAGGACTTAAAATAAATTTTATTTCATTTTTTGTTTGTTTAGCGTCTGTGCATTAAACGTAACTTCTTTGTGCTATTTTGCTCCACATTGTATCTAAGTTTTTGTTGAATTTTCTTGGTTTTGTTTTGAGGTATTCTTGAATTTTCTTGTTTTTGTATTGTGGTCATCTTGAATATTCTTGGTTTAATATTATGGCTTTCTATAACATTTGGTGGTTTTGTATTGTGGTATTCTTGAATTTTTGTTGGTTTTATATTGTGGTATTCTTGAATATTCATGGTTTTGTATTGGGGTATTCTTGAATTTTTATGGTTTGTAATGAAGTATGCCTGAATTTTCATGGTTTTGCATTGTATTCTTGAATTTTCGTGGTTTTGTTTTGTGGTCCTCTTGTATTTTCTTGGTTTTATATTGAGGTTTTTCTTTAAAATTTTGTGGTTTTGTACTCTGGTATTCTTGAAGTTTCTTGGGTTTGTATTGTGGTCCTCTTGAATTTTGTTGGGTTTATATTGTGGTCCTCTTGAATTTGCATGGTTTTGTATTATGGTCCTCTTGAATTTTGTGGTTGTAAAAATTTGGTGGTTTTGTACTGTGGTATTCTTGAACTTACTTGGTTTTTGGCATTGCTTAATAATATTTATGATTAGTCTCTGGGATCTAGTGGCAGGTTCTCTATCTTTGGTTCAAGAAAACCCAGTGCTTTCAGTAGTTCATTTAACTCTGATACAACTACTCCGGATTCTACAACTACAGTTACCTCTTTTACTACAACAGCTTCAACAACAACGCCTACATCGACAACCTCAACTACAGAGACTGCTTCAACTAGAACTCTAACCCCAAGTACAGCTTCATTAACAAGACCTTCAAGACCACCTATACAAAGAACCCCTGAAGCAACCTCGGACCCAGATACTGACCCAAGATCATCTTTCACCTTTAGATCTCATTCCAGGTTTTTATTCATTCATTCATATAGTTATGTTGAAACTATTGTCAAGATAGTTTTAACCATTTCTTTTTAAGATTGCTCAACTCTCCGGGTTTAACCAAGGAGAACCCTAACCAAGAAATCCAAGAAGATTCTGTAAAGTCAACGCCTTTTCAAGGAAGGATTGATGGGTTTTCAGGGATTCGTAAAATCAAAGAACAATCTTTGCTAGTATCTGAGAAGATCGAACCTCGTCCTGGGATTGGTTCCAAGTTTTCTAATGGCACTGTGCTTCAACGTCTCCGTTTACCAAATAAACAAACGCAAAACTTAAGGTGTAGTTTTTGAATATTTAATTTTATTTTAAGAAAAATCTTTAGCAATGTTTTAGTCTATATTTGCAATGTTCTAATACATTTTAATATAGAATTAGCAGTAATATTTCCCGTCCAAGCCCCGTTTCTCAACCAGAAAAATCAGACTCCATTAAACCGATCTTGTCAACTCCGAAACCCAGAAAATCAGAAGAGGACTCTGCTAAAGAAAAACTTAAAGTGGGGAGTAAACCTGAGCTAACTATGGTTGAAAGGAAATCTGTTCTCCAACGATTGAATTTGCGAGGAAGTCTTCGAGATGGACGGAGAAAAATTAATTTTCTTCAAACCTCAGCCAATCTAGGAAAGAAAAAGCAAATATTTAGAACTTTTAGACTTTTAAAAAATCCAATATTTAACAAAATTCAGTTTTTAACCCTTTTACTTTTTTCAACTTTTCTTCAGACAAACCAGTGGTGGTGTCTTCAGTAGGACTTTCTTCAGGTCTCACTCCATCTTCAAGAACGACAACAACAACAACAACTACAGAATCAACTACATCTTTTAGAACAGAAACTTCGTCCTCATCGTCACAAACCAAGGACGAGTCAACTCCTCCTAGCAGGAGAGTTGTGACAGTTTTAGAGTTTTTTGGTAGTGATCAGTCAAAACATACCATTCCTTCCTCCCAGTCTTCCTCCACACATCAAGATTTTAGTGATAAGGACTTATCCAAGATACTCGACTCATCTACAACAGAACCTTATTCTACTACAAAATCGTATTCTTCTAGAGAACCTTATTCCACTACAGAATCCTATTCGTCTACGGAACCCTATTCGTCCATGGAACACTATTCGTCTACGGAACCCTTTTCAACTACAGAATCTTATTCCACTACAGAATCTTATTCCACTACAGAATCTTATTCCTCGACAGTTTATCCCGTTACAGTACTTTATTCCAGAACTTCTCCTACTCAAGTTTACTCCACTACCCAAGCATATTCCACTAGTTCTAGTTCAGAGCAGAATTTAGGTTCTGAAACCTCTACTACGGAACCTACGCAGTATCCGGATACTTCTACACACTCAGGGATAGAATCAGATCTAACAAAACATGGTTCTAGCAAGGTTGAAGGTTCAAACTTTTCTCCAGATCTGCCCGAAACAACGACTAAGAGAAAGATTATTACATTCTTTAATAGACAGGAGTTAAAAGATAAGCTAAAGGATGTTGTTTTATCCGCAATTCAGGATAAATCTGCAATCAGTATAGAGGAAAAGGTAATTCGAACATAATATTTATAATTAAAACGAACATATTATTTATAATTAAAATACAATGTTAACAAAAATGATTTTAATTTAGGTTTCACGCTTGCGTGATAAGATTGAAGCAGCAGCCCCTGAGGAGATAAAACAGCATATTCAGGAGAAACAGGAACAGTTTATGAAGGATGCAATCAGACTCTTCTCTCTTGAAAGGAAATCTCAACAGAATGAAGAAGAGGACAGCAGAGTTGTAATTCAGGAGTTTATGAAAACCATGGATATTCTGGAACCAACCTTGAAAGAATCTACCACAAGTTCTTCTGTGTTAGAGTCTAGAACTTCAACAGAACCTGGAGAAATGTCAACTATTGAACCAACCACAACAACTAGTGCTGGTAGAAGAATATCCTTGTTTAGCCATGAGAAGAATGAAGTACAAACCACACCCTCTGTCACAACCAACATCAAGCTTCAACCTGTGGTCCCTCTAACTACCACAACTACTACAAACCGACCAGAAGTCTCAACCACATATAAACCAACTTCCACATCTTCTCAACCTGACACAAGAACTGATTCTTCTGAACCTGATAGTTCGTTGCTCTCTAATCAAGGTACTGGAGAAAATATAAATATTTCTCCAGGGTTTCTGTTTGCTAGACCAAGCCTTGTTCAAACAATCAAATTGGAACCTGAATTGAAAGAAATGGCTAAGAATATAATTCCAGATAAACTAGGTAAGATTCTTTTTTCATCAGAGAATGAAACTTATGTATTGCATATTGTTGATCCCTTCAGAATACACTTCGTGGTAAGTCGGATTAACCTGTTTTTCAAGTTAAATATACTTTCCTTATATCTTTTAAGTGTTGACCATTAAAAAGCCATTGAAAAATTGTGAAAAGTCAAAAATTTTAACAGATTCAGCTCGTCAATTGTGTCAGAGGTTTTACACAGAGGTTCCAAACTCTGATTTACTATCCTGAAAAATATATTTTTTAATAAAACCTGTTTCCCTAGAATCCCAGATGAACAAGATCTCCAATCTATCCGAGGATGAGGCTATGACGGAACTGATTGATGAAGTTTACTCCAAGCGTCCTAGTTTTAGGATCAAATTGATCCAACCCAGCAACCATCCGGAGAAAAGTGGAACTGAATCTAAAATAACTGAGGAATTAATGGAAAATACGAAAAAAATTATGAAAATTATGAATCTCTTGGAACCTGAAGTTCGTCCAGCCTTGACCCAGCAAGCGACAGTGAATACACCTCAGCAATCAATTATCTTCCAGCAAGCTCCAGTGCTCCAATCAATCTCTGAGCAACCAAGTCTGTCCCAAAAGGTTTCAGTTTTACAAACAATTCCTGAGCAATCAACACGCTTTATGCCTAGGAGAAAGCTTGATGAATCCACAAAAATAACTGAGCACTATGAAACCTTAATACCCCTAAACCTTGGACGGATTAAGAATTTTAGAGAAGAGGAGAAAATTGACTTTGGTTCACTTGTTCAGAATGTTAACCAGAAGGTTTTCTTTGGGAAATCTCCGGGCACAACTACAAGAAACATCTCCCCTGAACCCACTAATCTAGTCAAAAATGGGAAGATTGAACCTGAAGCTGAGTTTAAACAAGAACCTAGTTTAGTAGTTCAACGGTATTCCTCTCCTCTATGGTCCGAACCTGTAGAAAGCTTTGATTTTCAAAGTGATCTGAATCCAACCTTCACTACAACCGTCACTGATTCATTAAGAACACAAGATTCAATCCAGGATTTTCCAGGAGTGGATTCAAAGTATTCAATCCAGGATTATCCAGGAGTGGATTCAAAGTATTCAATCCAGGATTATCCAGGAGTGGATTCAAAGTATTCAATCCAGGATTATCCAGGAGTGGATTCAAAGTATGAAGAGGAATACTATTATATATCAAATGATTCAGATTCAAGAAATCCAGATTTTGTTTATCTCGGAGAAAATGATCCATATGTTCATCCTTCATTAAGCAATTCTCCTGTTTATCCTACAGAAAGCAATTCTCCTGTTTATCCTAAAGATACTAATTCTCGTGTTTATCCTAGAGGAAGCAATTCTCCTGTTTATCCTACAGGAACCACTTCTCCTGTTTATTCTACCGGAACCACTTCTCCTGTTTATCCTACAGGAACCACTTCTCCTGTTTATTCTACAGGAACCACTTCAATTCTCCTGTTTATCCTACAAGGAGAAATCCTCCTGTTTATCCTACAGGAACCACTTCTCCTGTTTATTCTACAGGAACCACTTCTCCTGTTTATTCTACAGGAATCAATTCTCCTGTTTATCCTACAAGGAGAAATCCTCCTGTTTATCCTTCAGGAAGCAATTCTCCTGTTTATCCTACAGGAAGCAATTCTCCTGTTTATCCTACAGGAACCAATTCTCCTCTATATAATTATGAAACTCAGGTAAATTCGGGTTTTTATTCTAACGGTTGAATTCAGCCATATTTGTTTAAATTTATAACCACAAATAATAATTTTTTTCTGCTAGGGTTCTCTTCTTCCACGTCTACAGTTTGCAAACTTCGATTACGATGATGCTGGAAATATTATTCTCCTTAACTCTAGCGGAGAACCCATTGCTCAAGCTCCACAGGGTTCAATAATACCTACTAGAACTAGTATTGATGATTTACAAGGATCCGTCCGGATTACTCCGGTCTTTATAACCAACACAGGTTACAACTAATTAACAAAATGATAAGTTGAATAAAAAAAGGTTTTTAACATATATTTTATTAAGGTTTAAAAGAAAGTGATTCAACTGGAAGGTCTAGGGTGCACGTTGAACTAGAGCGCCTGCAGAATAGGTTTAAAGATGGTAAAATTCAGAGCTCAGGTCAGAAACATCAAACTGATCTTCTTAAACACCAGCGGGAAGTAGATAAGATAATCCAGCTACAGGAACTAGCTGCTCTACGGTTTGGATAACTGGAAAAATCAGATTTGAAGAAACAGAAACCAAAAACCAAGTGCTTGAACCATTGACATATTTTATTCTACTTTTAATATTTTGATATTCTACGACTTCTGTTTAAGACAAGATCTAATAAATATGACTTTGCATTATTTGTTTGATTTTTGCAGTATTTTAGTTAGACTAGAGTTTAGTCAATGGGTAGAATAAGAAAATTTAGATGATTATGTTGCTTAATCTTCGACTAAGATAGTACTTTGTAATAATAGGTGTTCCTTGAATATGGAATTTCCGCCGATTTACATAACCTTTATGATCATCTCTGATTCTTATAGTTTAAAGTTACATTTTACCCTGGATTAACCATGGTGAGACGGGTATGGTTTCTTAATTCCTCAATTTTAATTCAATCGCGTTTTGGTCTTCAATTCAACGAACTTTAAACTTTGGCAATCTAACGGCATCCGTCGTCAAAAATGTATAAATCAGAGAAAAAGCTAAAATATCTTTATTTAATGGTTCAATTTGTGATAGAAAGTCGCAGGTTGCTGGAACAAGAACCGAAGTGTTGAATTAAGAATGCTAGAGATATAATCGACTCCTTTTTAAAAATAATTATTTAATTGTTGGTTCTCTGATTTTCTTAAAGGGTACCGTTGTAAATCGAACGAATTTGACACATATACGGTATACCTATCTTTAATTTGAAGGTATAACTTAAAATTTCAATGACAGTCCCTCTAAAAGAATATTCTTCAGTGTTTTCGTTCAGATGAAAAATTACTTGAAGGACTAAAGACGTAATTCTTTATTCTAAAAAGAATTGGGATGTAAATGTACAGTACAGGGTTACCCACAAAGGATGAAAAATCAGAGACGACTGTACGGAATTTTCACTGGTCTGTTTCCTTATATTCACGATTTCCTGCATCTGCAGATTTGCTTTTTCTTTCTTTGCCAAATCATATTATAAAACATTAGATAACTATATCTCAGGAAGATTTAAATTAACCTTGGGATGTCAATGTTAGTAAAGTTTAATGGTCGTCTTTACAGTCTCATCCTTTATGTGTAGCACTAGTATCCCGTCTACGGACCGATATGATGAAGAAAACTTCAAAGGTCGTGCCACTGATTAAGTAGTAGTGTACTGTATACTTTTATAAAGTTTAATAAAAACCCATTTGAATTACTTTTGGGAAAAAATCCCATTTAATAAAGGAACAAACTTATTGCTAACCTACCCCACCTAATTTTAGCCTGTGCCTATTAATCTCTTTAAATTTTTTATCATGTGGAGATTTTTTCGAAAAAAAACCTTTTGGTCCAAAGACTTCAATGGAGATCTGAATGCTGGACGTGGAGACAGAATTGCAGAGGCTCGGAGACGGTTTTCATGGACTTTTAGGTCATTTTGCGAATCATTTTATTTTTGCTAGGCTCATGTGGTGGCCCTGCACTCTTATCCTCGATAAATAAGCTCCCACAAAAATCAAAACTGTCAGAATATGACTGAATTGTCTTCAGGTTGAATTTCAAGTATTAGGCTTAGTGATTTGGCAAAAATAAGAAACAATTTTACAGCTAAAACTAACCAAATTTTAAAGAAATTCTTGGAAGAATTATTTAGCATTTTATTGAATAGCTTGATTTTAGGAAACCAGCTTTGCCTGGACAATTAGTGGGTTAGACATGTACAGATAAAATATTTAATATTTAGCATTTTATTAAATAACTTGATCTTAGGAAACCAGCTTTGCCTGGAGAATTAGTGGGTTAGACATGTACAGATAAAATATTTAATATTTAGCATTTTATTAAATAACTTGATGTTAGGAAATCAGCTTTGCCTGGAGAATTAGTTGGTTTGACATGCACAGATAAAATATTTAATATCTAGCATTTTATTAAATAACTTGATCTTAGGAAACCAGCTTTGCCTGGAGAATTAGAGGGTTAGACATGTCTAGATAAAATATTTAATATTTAGCATTTTATTAAATAACTTGATCTTAGGAAACCAGCTTTGCCTGGAGAATTAGTTGGTTAGACATGCACAGATAAAATATTTAATATTTAGCATTTTATTAAATAACTTGATCTTAGGAAACCAGCTTTGCCTGGAGAATTAGTGGGTTAGACATGTACAGATAAAATATTTAATATTTAGCATTTTATTAAATAACTTGATCTTAGGAAACCAGCTTTGTCTGGACAATTAGTTGGTTACACATGTACAGATAAAATATTTAATATTTAGCATTTTATTAAATAACTTGATCTCAGGAAACCTGCAGCTTTGTTTGGAGAATTAGTTGGTTAGACATGTACAGATAAAATATTTAATATTTAGCATTTTATTTAATAACTTGATCTTAGGAAACCAGCTTTGCCTGGAGAATTAGTGGGTTAGACATGTACAGATAAAATATTTAAAGGGACAGTCCAAACACATTTATAGGATCAAGGAAAAATAGAATATGAAAGAGTAATGCATCCCTCTGTATATAGTTCTGTATTAGTCTCACAAGTCCTTAGTAGTCTCCTGAAGACAATCATTAGTCCTCCGTCCTCTTTTCTCTTATATCCTATAATTTTCATACTGACTGTATTTTATAACTCAAAAAGTATTGGTATGAGGTTGTAAATTTTTTTTGACTTACTCATAACAAACTTGAGTGCCCCTCGCTTTAGGCTAAAAGCTGGGCTTTTATACCTATACTGCCTGAGTCCTCAGGTATATACTGCCTGAATACCTTATTTCATCTATACCAGACTAAATCAATAACTTATTCCAACGATGCAATTTTTCGACACAATTATAATAAAAAAACTGGTATTTAATGACACATATTTATTATGAACAGACATTTGTGAATACATATTACAGATGAACTATACTTCTTCTCTATCATTTATAAAATCCCAACTTAAATCCCAACTCTGTTCTTCTAGTGATACTGATAACATCATTAAAATTAAGCAAAAATATATACAAAAAGAGACAAATATCTTTCACAACAAAATTTATTAGCAATTCATTAAATACAATGATATCATCTATATATAAATTTGGCTTGTCTGTCTGTTTGTCTGTTTGTTTGTTTGTTTGTATCCAATCCAATAAACCCCAAAACGGCTGAACTGATTGGGCAAACATTTTGTGTGGGACCTCACATTACCCCAGGAAAGGTTTATGAATGATCAAAATTTAAAAATTTAGCCTCCAACAAAATTGAATTGTCATTAAATTTTGAAAATCAGCGAATTTTTTGTATGTTTTTGTTTTACAATGTAAAGAGAAAATGTTCACAATTGAAATAGAAGCCGGTATTTGTACATAATAGAACAAATGTTTTTAAGGGTGGTGACGGGATTAAGTTTGTCGGGGGGGGGGGGGGGGGAAAAATTATCTTCGCGACAATTTTTTTGACCCCCTGTCATAATTTTTACCAAAAAAACAAGCGCAATTATATCCCCCCCCCCCCGGCTAATAAAAGTTCAATACAGGCCTCTCTGTCTCTTTGTTGCAAAGAAAAGTAGAAAGTAGAATAATGTAGTCAACGCCCTCCCCTTGATCTGTATACCACTCATACCACCCTCCCTGGAACTTTAAAGATATAAATCCTGAAAGGTCCCCTTTTTTCTTTTTGATCCCATAAAAGGACTTTACGAATAACTATATTGTGAAAAAGGAGCTTCACAGGGAAGATATTTTTAAAAATCCTTTATTAGAAACCGATTTAAAGGAACTGGGAGCGCTTTAAAATTTTAGGAAGTAGTAATTAATTTGCAGCCCCTCTGTTCCCTAGCCCCCTTGCATAAAAATTCTAACATCCCTATAAGCTAGCTGTGCTGTTTTCGCTGTATTCAGTCAATATTCAGCAAATAGCAATTCATATCGTACACATGTACTGTGTCAAAGTGACGTTGTAGCATTATATTAGAGTTGATCTTTCAATCATTATTAAGTTAACATTAGAGAAGAGCGTACCGTCAAACAGGCAGCTGCAAATCAGTGTTACTCGCGAATGCCGCAATGAATTATAAGACAGAGAGAGTGCCAGTTCTAGCCACGGCGCTCGGCCCCCTAGTCTGTCCTAACCGCAACGCGCGGCCCTAGCAGAGCCTCTAAACCCCTAACCTAATCCTAAACTATGCACTAATCTCTCTTCTTACAATTCATTGCGGCATTGGCGAGTAACAAAGTTTGGCCGCTACCCGTCAAACAAATGTTCCTTTTGTACCGTCACGACTTTAAGCTTTGTCACTCAAAATTATTTCCTTATATGGTCTTAGCCGGTAATGACGTCACATTTACTGCAGTCTAATATTAAAAATATATTTTTCTATTGATTAAAAATTTCACCTTTAAATTCAATAATTTTAAGTTTAAATTCAATAATTTAAAGTAAAATTTTAAGTTTTTATAAACTTAATCTACAAAATGTTGTTTAACCGGTGTGGGGTTGCACGCGGCAAACTGTTGGCCCGGCACGCCAGGGACGGCGGCGCCATCTGTGACTCATTCTTTCTCATTCTCCCAGTCCCAGTCTATAGTACTCTATCGTCAATTCAATTCTGCCGACGCATTCCTCTGACAGAAAATACGAAGGAAATTAGATATGTAACTATTAGTAGATTTCCCCTAGTTAATGTTGGTTTATTTGTTTCTACCCTTCTTGTAGATCGAACCGGATAAATCAGTTGAATAAAGAACGTGTGTTTAGTGTTATATGGTCGGAAGAAGCTGCCGGCTATAAGCTTTAACAAACATATAGAAAACCAATAATTCAATTTGGGTCCTTCCTTGTATACGATTTTTGGACCCCCCCCCTCCCTTTCCTCCTTCTCCTATAAATTTTGTAGATTTTGTACCACTTATTTTTCAGCAAAACTATTTATTTTTTACTAGTTTAGGGTTAGGTTAGGTTAAGACAATTTCTGGGCCTTTTTTAGGGGGATAGGTGGTATATTTAAAGATTAAATTTCAAAACTAATTAAATGTTGAAACTTTTTTAGCTTATGTTACCTTTAGGGTACCCATGGGTTACCTTTTGGCCAGCTATAGTGAACATGTAATACATGTATATCCTACAAATGTATATATGAGCTAAGAGCTTTATTATTTATTATTTAGATAGTACGTAAGAAGTCTACATCTTCACAATAAATCAGATCGACAAATGATAATTTTTTATCTTTATTTCAACTGCATATTTTCGGTTTTAGTGATATTTGCGTTTCAATCCCCACGATCTGAGAATCATTTTTAATTGATATTTTCTCACATTTTTGATCAACTTTGAGTGTCAAAATGTTTTGATCAAATAATTATCATAATTAAAAAACAAAATGTTTTGTTTTATCCATTGAATTAAAAATATTAATTATCTGCTTGTCATTCAGGATTTGTTTACTTTCAGAAGATAAGATTAAAAACCGCATTGAGTCAGATTCAGTCGTATTTGTGTGAAAAGAGGAGTCAAACCTAAACCTACCAAGATGGCAATGTCCGGAGTAAAACTGACTGAATCCTGTATGTCAACATACAACGATATTCAGAAGAGTAAGAAACACAGATACGCCATCTTCATGATCAAAGATGGACAGATTGATGTTGAGAAGGTGAGATCATTTAATGTTTATAATTAATCATTTTCTTTGTTAAATTGCAAAGTTACATTTGAGTTTTTTAGAAAAATTATTTTCAAAGAAGAATTTTATGCCTAGAATGTAGCGAGAATTTAATCAAGGAGAATTTTTAAATGTGAAAGTTTCCAATTTTATTTCCTTTTCTTTATTTGCCATTTATTCTATTAGATTCATCCTTTTCTTTAGCGTTAAGGTGACCCTCCAGTCGTATATAATAAGTTACATTCATGATTCACAACGGTACCCTGGGGCGAGAAAAAATTAGTAAACTTGATGGAAATATCCTCTTTTTAAATTTTCTTAGTAAGTGATGCAGATTTAAGATAAGGGAGTAAATTTGCTCATTACCTCAAAGAATGATGTTTTAATCATTGATATTCAATAAAAGGTTCTAATTATAGTCTTAAAGCAAAGCGCAACTCCTAAAATTCGTTAAAATAACACTGACGTATCAGGTTTCAAAAATAATTGTCGCTTTAAAGTTTTTTTTCTTCATTTTCATATTTCATATTTTTGTTCAACTACAAAGCACGAGATAATACAAATAAAAAATCACAATTTACTATGTAGTTTGGACCCATTTCGCATTTCATGTTTCATTTTTCGGTGCAATCTTCTAAAATAAGTCTTGAATTTTCATTAACACTCATAAAGATAGAATTTAATATTTCCTCCAGAGTTTTAACACAAGTCACAAGTGTTTTTTTTAAGCATGCAGAATAAATAATTGTTCAGAACTATGCTTTCGTTTTTAATCCTTTACTCCCCCTCCCAACACACTAGTTTTGTAAGAACAACCAATTCAATGCTATTTACATATTCGCCTGAGAAGTCATTTTTCCTCGCAATTAATTATAATAATTAAATTTTTTTAAGGTCGGAGACAGAAACAACAGTTTCGAGGATTATCTATCCGACCTTCATCAGAAGGACGGAGAGGCTGAGGACTGCAGGTATGGCCTCTACGACTACGAGTACAAGTATAATCCCGACGGAGCTGAGTCTACCTTCAAATCCAAGATATTCCTGATGAGCTGGTGTCCTGATAGCTCAAGGATTAAGAAGAAAATGCTCTACTCATCCAGGTTTGATTATAATTTGCTAAAAGGTTGTCCATTTTACATTTATCGCGTCTTGGGAGAATATTAACCTGAGGCCGAATTTAAAGAATTTGAGCGGCGGCTTAAACTTAAGCCGCGGCTCAAATATGGGGAGCTCAATTGAAACCGGTTTTTGGTTGATTTAAAACGCGGCTCAAATTCATTAAATTCGGACACTGGTCTCAGCTAATTTTAATTTTTGAATGTTTCGGATATTTCCGATAGTATTTCATCTTTTAGATTGATCTTGATGCGCAGAGTTTTATCGTTTCTTTAGTAACAACTTTTTATACGACACTTGCATTCGAAGCCTTGAATACGCAAGTTTTTTTACTATTCGGATACACTGTGCCCAAATATTCGAATCTCGGAATTTTTATTTTATTTCGTAGGTTTTTCGTTTTGACCTGTTGGATCTTTTGTTAAAAATGTTAACTTATATTCAAGAATAATAACCTATTTTTCGAATATATTAGTTTTTTTAGAAAATTCTGTTGAAAATAATAAAAATAAATATTTTAGTTTCGATACTCTGAAGAGAGCATTTGTCGGCGTGCACAAGGTTATCCAGGCCAATGACAAGAGTGAATGCGCACAAGATGCTGTAGAGGAGATCTTGAGATCTACAGATAGAAACTAGTTCAACCCCGACCCCCTGGCCTATGATGTATTTGTGTGATATATCGTGATAATTTCGCATTTAAAAAATATTATTTCAATCTGAGCTGTAATTTTAGTACATGTGGTTCTAAATAACATTTTAACTAAATCTACAATGTTTTGTTATATTCTTGAAAGGATGAAGAGTAAAGGACTGTCGGGATGTTGTTATATAATTTTCAAGGACATTCCAATTATTCTGTTTGGTTTAAGGTATCCTTTAAACTATTATCTGGTCAATAATTTAAAAGATATAACTAAACCCTATTGTTTCTTAAATTAAAAAAAAAACTGCAAGTTACTTTTACAGAGAAATCTTAAATGTAAAAAAACCTTACAAAAAGAGAAACCTGGATAGTCATTCATACTTGATCAGACACGCTTTTAACGTTTTAAATTGGACACAAACTGTACCATAAAACTTAGGAATTAAAAAAAAACTAATTTTAAAATCAAGTCTTGTCTAATGAACACGTGTCACGGTAATTGTCAAAATTGTGCCAAGGTTGTAATGCAAGGAAAGTTAATTGCAGTTACGTATTGCGTACATATTGAATCCAGTTCTCTCTGGGCGGAATTTGTAAACACGAATAAATGCATCTGTGTTTGTTTAGTATCCGAGAAGGTTAAAAGCATTAAATTTTGATAATTCACATAATTGTTTCCTATGACCAGAATATTTCATTGGTTTGTTATGTGAAGATCCCATGTCAGACTTCGACATCCATCTTGTGTACATTACCGCCCAGTGACAGTACACTGCAGTACAAAAGATGCGTACACCTCTGAAATAACTTTCCTTGCATTAAATCCTTGAATTGTGCAGAGAAACAAGACTCTTTTCACTTTCTAAGTGATTAAATAAGTTACTAGTCTAACTATTTACTTTGTAAAAACTCGATTTAATAGTCTTCATATTCCAGAGCCTTCTTGGTTCTCATACATATAAGTATATTTCGCTTGTCCGTCTGTTGATTAGATCCAATGAACGTAAACGGCTGAACCGATCGAGCCTATAAATGAGTTTTAAAGTTCAAAGCTAAAACTATTCGTATTAAGGAAGTGGATGGTAACATAAAATAACGTTTAGTAGCCTTTAGTAGTGAATTAATATTAATCTTTTAATTTTTCGAAGGCGGTAACAACGTAATTTGAGAAGGTTTTATTCAGCACAAATCATAATAACCGCGTCGATAATACATGAAAAAGGAAGGACTTCGGCAAGTAACGTGCTCGAGGAGAAAGTCGTAACAAAAAAATATGTGAATTGTATTTGTGTATATATTTGAGGCCGTAATCCTTATCAACCACATTGGGGGTTATTTGATAACAAGTGAACAGGTCGTAGATTTATTAGATTAAAGGAATATATTACGGAAAAGAAAATAAATAAAATCTTTTAACTCAAATCTTTAACAAGATCGAGAGATGCACAAGTTTTTAGAGAATCCTATGAACTATAAATCTGACAATGATTGATCTTATTTCCTGTCTTTAAAATGGGTATTATATAACACTTTATATTATATAAAGTTATACGCAAAGGGTGAGACGAGTGAGACTGTAAAGACGACCTGAAACTCCATAGTACGATGTTTTTAAGGGTTAAATTAAGTATTTTGTCATGAATATAGTCTTTTTCCGGTCTTCTTAATGTTAAGCTAAGGCAAAAAAAAGAAACAAGTGTATAGTTAGTGAATCATGAATCTAAGAAACAGACAGTGTAAATTCCGTGCAGTCATCCTTTGTGGGTAACCCTGTACAACACATTACAAAGATTTTCAGGGTTCCATAAAAATCTGAATCTCTAAACATAATAACGCTTAATGAGTAAAACACAGAAAATCGTTCTCAAATTGATTTTCAGACAAAACTTATTATTTTAATAATTTTTATTCTGTTTCAGTAACCCACAACTTAAGTTATCAGAGATAAAGGGAGTTACTTCTCGGGTCCTGAGAGAAAACCCGTAAAATTTCGTCTGTAAACTTGGCAATTTTTGCAAGAATTTCGCTAAACATACATTAATTTAACTATTGAAAGTTTACTCTTATGTAATGTGTTCAGAGAGTTAAGATGTTTACAGAAAGGTGAGCGCTTGTTGACCAAGAAAACATTATTTTTTCTATTTCAATGTGTCCCCGAGAACATTGTGCGCCATGCAGGGGTAGATATTTCCAATGTGTCCAATTGAACTTTTTGAAAGTGAAACATTTTCTTAAAGAAAAAGGTCGACAAGTTTAAGTCGATAGAACTTATCGTAATAAATTAAGAAGCAAGAACAGGAATCGTAATGAAATAAAAAAATGTCAAAATTTTTCCTGTATGAAATAACCGAAACAAGAAAAATCCTAGATTATGGGGGGACCGGTAAATCTGTGAAATATGACGACGACATTCTACAGTTTAAAGTCTACAGTCTACAGAGTCTATTGTCTATACTGTCTGCTGTCGACAGTCCACATTTTACAGAGTCTACCGTCTACAGTCTAAAGTCTACAGAGTCTACAGTCTACCTTCTAAAGTCTACAGTTTTAAAGAGTAACCCGCACAGGATGAGACTACAGAGACGACTGTACAAAATTTAATCAGACGTTTTTCTTTCAGTATTGTATCCTCACAACAGGAAACTTTTCTTTTCTTCTACAAATCATAAAGTAGATTAGTTGAGCTAAATCGACACAATTATAACCCTCAGATATTTATGTTCAATCAGTTTTTCATCGTCATTTAAGTCTTATCTTTTGTGGGGAACCCTGTACTTGTATTTTAAATCGATGTGTAAAGTATTTGTAGGACTCATAGACAAGTACAGCAGAAATTTCTGCGATCAGTATCGACAAACCCTGCAGATAAGAATAAATAAATTGTGAAAAATTGTCATCCCTGTTTGTGGGCGGATGAGCGAGGGGGGGGGGTAACTAGAGTATTTTAAGAGTATATAGATATATTATATAACTAAATAGCTGCAGGTCATCTCATCCTGTAAACATTTATACCTGACCAGTTCTATACAATTCAACCTTCAGACATATACAATAGACAATATAATCATAAAGTACACTGTACAATTTTAATATGAAGGGTACAGTACGTGTACTGCAGTGTAATTCAGTGCAACATCCAGTGATCTGTGAAAAGCGTAAAATGAAATGTTATGTATACACATCTGCGCGGGTACAATGTAGAAATTCTAACTAATCCATGAATATGTAATATTTATCATACTTTTTTTTTCTAAAACAGGAGATATATACCGATTCATATTGTTGTCATCTATGTTTCTAAAACAGGAGATATATACCGATTCATATTGTTGTCATCTATGTTTCTGAAATATTTCCAGATCAAGTTATAAAATGCCTAAAAATATTCTTTCATTTGAACTGCACAGGGAGGAAAAATAATACAATTAATTGTTCCTTGTATCAGATTGGAAATTGATAAGATGTCAAGAACACATTTTCAGAGAATTAAAAAAAATAAAATTGACATTTTTCAGAAAAATAAAAATCATTTTATCAATTTTTTAGAAAAATTTTGTTTGACAGAATGTTTAGAATTCATTAAAAAAATTTTATCAAATCTTTTAAATGAGTAAATTCTTGTTACTGTGCGTAATTGCAAAAATTATATAAAAAGTAACTCATCTCAATTTAATAACTTTTAATACACACAGGGGGGCTGGATCTTAACTACCTCCCCGTGTGTAATAGCCTGAGTCTATGCACTTTGGATAGTTTACTGATAAAGGACATCAATAGATTATGGCCTATTCATACAGTACAAACATCAAATATGCAGTACGCTTTCGGAGTACAAGTGTATGTTAGGGTTTTGTATCTTGAACAGATGATTCCCCGAGTACTGTAATATACAGATTGACCTTTGGAAGTGAAGTACATGGCCTGTACAATTAGTAAAGGATTAGAGTACATCATCACTATATACTATAACCTCGTTGACTGTACAGCTTGTTTCAGCTAATTAAAAGTCGGCCAGGTACTTAGAATGAACCGGAGTTTGTGCAGTGAATAATGTAGTTTAAGATGATTTTCACAAATTTTTATTTTATAAAAGACAAAACTAAATGATACATATATTTTCTGGAAATAAGAAATAGACTTTGCGAAAGGGGTTTAATGGTGGCGGGGGATATGTGTAAAATAAAAGAGATTTTAGTAGAAGAATCTTAATTTAAAAAAAACAGATGACCCCAAAGTTTCTGAAAATGGAAAATCTATAATCGAATTTATTTTCAATAAATTGAAAAATATTCATCCCTTTCAGAGAATTTTTTCTGTCAACTTTTTAGTATGAAATGCATGAAAACAAAAAAGTGTAAACTTTTTTCTTACAAAGAATTTGTCGTTCGCAATTAAAATTCTATAACTCTATTGTCTCAGGCCTTTTGGTGTCAGAAATAAAGACTTTTTAATGCGACATTGTTTGAAATAATTATTTATATCTATAGAGGATCCGACGAATCCGACCCTGTGGTTTGTTTTTAATCTTTGTGACAGAAACAATCTCAAGAACTGACGAGGGTCCACCCAGACCGAAATATATTTTCAATTAATGTGGAACTAACATCTACTTTTTTTTACTCTATACAGACTTTTGGTCCATCACCATTACCGAATTTAAAAATCAAAGTCAAATTAAGATAAAAAAGTCGGATATCGGCATGTTTTCGGTGAAAAATTAACAGATTTAGTAATTTTACACGACACGGCAATAACCAGAAAATTGGAATAATTATTGTCTTTTTTTCTTTCAATTATGAAATTTTTCTGTGTATATACTTTGGACATTTTTATCATAATATCCGAGAAAATGTGAAGAGGTAGGCATACTTCGACTTTAAACTGATGATCCTGTTACAAATTCTAAAATTCAAATAAAAAAGAAAGATAGAAGACGACGATCCCTCTAATGATTTCTAGCAGGGGCGTACACATGAATTTTTCCGGGAGGCTGGGGGGCTCAACTTTTTTCTCTCCAGGGGGAAGGGGGCCTCAGCACCCTTTGTGTATGCCTCTGAATTTTCTGGCTTTCACTCTGTACAAAGATTTTAGAATTTTAAAGATATTATTTGAATTTAAAGAGGAAACCCTTCTCTTCCTTGGGGCTTCTGTATTGTCGGAGGAAAAGACCAGGTGAAGTCCAAACTAAATTTTTGATGCTCCGCGCCTCAAAATTCAATTATTTATTTCGGAATTTCTGGGTTTGAAATAACTTGATTTTGGTGATGAAAATAGTTTTAAATCTTTTTTTGTGGACTTAATGAGCGGTCGGATAAATCAGGACATCTACAAAATGTGTGTTTCACTTTCAACTTTCAAATCATTTTAAAGGGAGTGTTCGCGAAAAATGAAAGGGAGTATAGGCTTAATGCGATAAAAAGGCGCTTTTGATCGCTACTAATCTTACTTCCATCTGTTGCGTCTATAAGGAGAAAATTGTTTAAAACGACTCACACCGAAGAACGTAGTGTTCATACAAATTCAGAAAGATGCAACATTCAACTCTGATCGTAAACAAATCAATTTAATTCCAAACAAATCATTCAGATATTACAAACAATAGTCATCGATTATTTTTGACGCATTCGTATGTTAATATTCCACAATATTATGTATTTTTCATGATCTGAGAGTTACTTTTGAAAACATTTATTCCTAATTCGAGGATTTTTGATAATGAAGACGACATTTTAATATTTTCCAGGAAATATTATGAAATATTAACTATATACGAATGCGTCGAAAAATAATCATTGACTACTGTTTGTAATATCTGAATTTGTATGGACGCTGCGTTCTTCAGTGTGAGTCGTTTTTAACAATTTTCTCCTTATAAACGCAACAGATAGAAGTAAGATTAGTAGCGACCAAAAGCGCTTTTTTAACGCATAAAGCCTATACCCCCTTTAATTTTTCGCGAACACTCCCTTTAAGACGTGGATCGATCTTTGTAACTATGTGTCTTTAAATAAACAGATATCAAGATTTTTTTCTAGGCGAAATATTTTTATACAGTTAAAATTGTCTAATATCTTACTCAATTTTGAACCAATATAAAAACGGATGATCGCAATTTCCGCTCGATTTCTTTAATAAGAAATGTCGCTTAGAATTTTATCCGTCTCCGCTTTTTTCAAAATTTTTAAAAACCTCTGTTTGTTGATCAGTTCCTCAAATTTTTGGTCCGCTTCCTCATTTTTTGATTCGTTTTTGCTTTTTTCAAAAACTTTAAAACTCTCAATTTGTTGATCGGTTTCCTCAAATTTAAGGTCCGTTTCCTCATATTTTTGATTCTTTTCTGCTCTTTTCAAAAACTTTAAAACTCTCAATTTGTTGATCGGTTTCCTCAAATTTTAGGTCCGTTTCCTCATATTTTTGATCCGTTTCCGATTTTTTCGAAAACTTTTTAAATCTTAGTTTCTTGATCGGTTCCCTCAAATTCTAGGTCCGTTTCCTCATATTTTTGATTCTTTTCTGCTTTTTTAAAAAAAACTTTAAAACTCTCAATTTGTTGATCGGTTTCCTCAAATTTTAGGTCCGTTTCCTCATATTTTTGATTCTTTTCTGCTTTTAAAAAAAAACTTTAAAACTCTCAATTTATTGATCGGTTTCCTCAAATTCTAGGTCTATAAACTATAAGACTGTAAGAATACAACCCTCTTTGAAGTCTCATTCTTGGGTAATCCTGTTTTTAACTGTTATTACTGATTTAGCCCTATAACAAGGTCCACAGCATAAAATAAAAATAAGCAGTTATAAACTCCAAAATCCTCAGAAACATCTATAATTTAAAGGGACTGTAAACGTACTTTCCTGTCCCCCTCCATTTATTACGGTTTTCATTAAACCTTCGTCTGTTCAAGGATGAATGAAATATCCTTTGTCTTCTCCCTGTAAAGTGTAAATTGATTATTCTCAATTGTTGTTCCTTAAAGGGACGTAAAGGAAAAATGAAAGGGGGTATAGGCTGAAACCTGAGCATTTTAGGAGTAGATCGATACCTATAAGAGTTCTATCTGATATTCCTGTCTCGAGGAATTGTGTCAAAGTTATACCAAAACTCATATATGTGAGATTTGGTGTAAGACTCACAGTTTTAAACAGATCATATTCAGCAAATACTTAACTAATCTGAAAACGACGATATCCCAGAGGAGCCTGAAAAATTCAGGTTTGCTCCTTTTATAATTTGAATTTAATAATTGTTCATTTTTAATAGATATAATTGATAATATAATTAGTACGTCTGTATCACATGATCAGAATTCCCACTAAGGCAGTGCAGTATCTTTGTCACGTGACACAGACGGAAAACTCTTATTGGTCTCGATCAACTCCTAAAATGCTCAGGTTTCAGCCTATACCCCCCTTTCATTTTTCATTTCCAGTCCCTTTAAATAAATGGAGGGTCTCTTGAAATTACGTGAACAGTCCCTTTAAAGAAAGTAAAAGACGAAAACTGTTCCGCTGATTATCATAATGTCTAATTTAGTGCACATGTGTACATGACTAGAGATACTGGAGATAATGTGATTTTAGGGTTTAACTGTGAAGATTGGGAATGTGAAGAGAAATACCCCTGCGTCTAGAGCAGGGCTTCATAAAATGGATTATCTAATCTCGGTAAATCAAGTTGAGATTTTTAAAACTAATTTTACACAGTTTTTGAAAACTGTATAGAAAAACTTTAAACACACAGATTCCTCAATTATTTGCTCAAGGAATAAACCATGAACCCTCAAGTATACTGCAGTTTATTTTCAGAGGAATGTAATTATTTAACCTGGAAATCAAGTTTTTACTGAACCCAGAGCCCAAAACTTAAGACAGGGTATCGTTATGAAAGCCAGTCTTGAAACCCGGGTTTCACAAATGGGGTTAGACAGTTTTGTTGATATCAATATTTTTGTTAAGAATATAATTTTATTTAGTTTCTTCAAATTCTCCATTTTTCTTCGAATCTCTCAAATCAAAATCTACACAAATGTTAGACCCCAAAAATCTAAAGTTTCGTTCAACGATACTCTTTTAAATTTTGAGCTCAAAGTACTCATGTTTCAAACCAAGAATACATTTACTGATTCTTAAAAACAGCTTTTAGCTCATTTACTTNAATCTAGAATACAACCTCCTATTTACTGAATCTAGAATACAACCTCTCATTTACTGAATCTAGAATACAACCTCCTATTTACTGAATCTAGAATACAACCTCTCATTTACTGAATCTAGAATACAACCTCTTATTTATGTAATCTAGATAGAATATAACAATGAAGTGTGAGACAAAAAATATAAATTCTATTCTAGATAAATGGAAAAGCTGTGTTTAACCTGACACATGGAGAATGTGTGAGAGATATTAAATCTTCAGCTCAACACCTGGTTCTGGAGTGTGAAAGGTAGAAAATATTTGACGCAAATCAAGTTTTTTTTTTAAAAATGAGGCATTGGAACTCATAGCTTTTGAATAAAAACTTTGTAGATTCTGTATAAGAATTTGCGGAAAAATAAGATTTTAGGAAACGGCGGATCTGACTGAGGGGTCCAAAATGTAAAAAGTTAAAAAATCATCGTACTTACTATAACAATTATGTGTCAAAGGAATAAAAATCAGAAAAAGTTCAAGAATGCCCACTTTCCTATTATTTTTTGTTGTAAAAATAAATGACTATTTAAAAATATTTTTTTACACAGTTTAAAATGTTAAGAATAAAATTTAATGCAACTTTCAAGTGTTAAAATCAGAAGTTCCTTTATTTGGCTACAGCCAATAGAAAGATAGAAAGATTTTGAAAACTATTCTATTTTCCATATATTTAGAGGAGATCATATAGTTCCTAGTTTTGAGGAAATGTTTCCTGGATTAAGATCCGGAGATAATGATCCTGAAACCACGAGTAGGAAGAAGCATATCGGAGACGACTACTACAATGATGCTATGCAGGTTAAAGACGATCTTAGTCTCCAGTATCAACAGTTTTCCTGAGGGACACTATTTTCAATACAGGGTGTCCCAATAAACATGGGAATTAAGAGACGACTTGAATATATCGTCTTTTATTTCCGATTGGTGATAAATGACAAAATATGTATCATAAAAAGATTTTATGTTTTATGAGCTTTTCAAAATGTGTTCTGCCTTCTTTGTATCTTCAAACATTTGAACAATTTTGTTGTTATTTAATAAATTGGAATCTGAACAGATTTCTCGATATCAACTTTGATGGAGCAAAATGGTAGACCTCATTTAAAAATTCTTGTGTAGTTTCTTATATTAATTGTTTAACTAGAATACTACTTAATTGTGTTCACGTAATAAAGCCGCGTTGAACTTTAAGACGAAATGGAACTCGTCACTTAATTCCCATGTTTATTGGGACACCCTGACCCTGTGGTTGTTATATGTTGAAGCCTCCATGTTTATTGGGACACCCTGACCCTGTGGTTGTTATACGTAGAAGCCTGTTCAGGGAGTTGAGGGCTGTAAGTTTGTGTTCTGTAAGATCTAATGTGCAGGGAACCTTGTGACAAAAAGTGGAAACTTGAAGGAACGTCATGTTCTTAACTTTATAAAAAATAGACCAGCCATGCATTAAAATCTAAAACAAAGAATTAAAGGGTTTATACTTCATAGTCTTTTAAACAGAGCTGGTAAATTTTAGAATTGGATAACTTTAATCCCGATCGCTTAATCTGAATATCCAATGTGGACACTTCTAATTTCTTGCTTAATCCACTCTTTTTGGATAAAGTACAGACAAATCAAAAACCAGTTTTTCAAATGTAGAGAGTCCATCCTGTCTCTGCATATAAATCTTATTTAAATGAGAGAACCCATTAAATTTCAAATTTCCTGGCTTCTTATACACCCCTCTTAGGCTCTGATTGGTTGAATTTTATACATTTTTCAGGATACAAACACAAGATTAGGTTAGTCTCAAGATTAAGAAAAAGAGAGGATCACACATTAATCTTGATATCCATCATTCTAAAGTTCCCAGCTCTGACCAATATTACGTACAGCTTACTGCACGCTACACTCTACATCCTGTACACCCTAGAGTCTATACACTGTACTAACATTTATTTTTTTCTGTTTAGAACCATGGACTAGGACATCTTCCACAACCAAACAATTTTACAACAGTTGGAAATAATCTTGGTATAGAGATTAATCAGTACAATTGTCCTATAGAGGTAAATACAGAGATTAATCAGTACAATTGTACTATAGAGGTAAATACAGAGATTAATCAGTACAATTGTCCTATAGAGGTAAATACAGAGATTAATCANTTTGTACAATTGTACTATAGAGGTAAATACAGAGTATAATCAGTACAATTGTACTATAGAGGTAAATACAGAGTATAATCAGTACAATTGTACTATAGAGGTAAATACAGAGTATAATCAGTACAATTGTACTATAGAGGTAAATACAGAGTATATTCAGTACAATTGTACTAGAGAGGTAAATACAGAGTATAATCAGTACAATTGTACTATAGAGGTAAATGCAGAGTATAATCAGTAAAATTGTACTATAGAGGTAAATACAGAGTACAATCAGTACAATTGTCCTATAGAGGTAAATGCAGAGTATAATCAGTACAATTGTCCTATAGAGGTAAATACAGAGTCCAATCATCACAATTGTATTATAGAGGTAAATACAGAGTATAATCATTACAACTGTACTATAGAGGTAAATACAGAGTATAATCAGTACAATTGTCCTATAGAGGTAAATACAGAGTTTAATCAGTACAATTGTCCTATAGAGGTAAATACAGGATATAATTAGTACAATTGTGCTGTAGAGGTAAATAGTAAATACAGAAATACAATCAGTAAAATTGTACAATAGAGGTAAACACAGGATACAATCAGTACAATTGTACTATAGAGGTAAATACAGAGTACAATCAGTACAATTGTACTATAGAGGTAAATACAGGATATGATTTGTACAATTGTACTATAGAGGTAAATACAGAGTATAATCAGTACAATTTTACTATAGAGGTAAATACAGGATACAATCAGTACAATTTTACTATAGAGTTAAATACAGGATACAATTGTCTTATTACAGTATACATATGGTCGTCGTCGTTTATATCAATAAAATAAAGACAACTTTATATTTTAATTTAAATTTCTGCAAAGTTTTTATACAGCATGGATAAACATAAATTTGGAAAGAAAGAGAATTGCTGTTAATTAACGGATTCTTTTATTGTCTACTTGTAATCTTGTAAGTTGAAAAACGCTTGTTATAAATCAAAACATAAATAGAAAAGTCATCTTCATTAAATTGATGTTAACACCGACCCCTGTATAGTCCCTGAAACTTAAGATAAATAACTGAACATAGTTCTGAAACCCCATAGTTTCCGAAATTTTGATGATTTAAACTATTTTAACGAGCAACAAGATCATGTTTGTTCAAGGAAATATTATTATAGGCAAATAAAGTAATACAGACAAAGCAATACACTGCATTGCATGCTTACAGCCCATCCCCTCACTCGTCTTGGTCTATTCTACCGGGGGCTCGGTTACTTCATTCAAATTCTCAAAATAAATATTTTTAAAATCTATTTATTTCAGGCGTACAGCGAGCAGTCAATAGAGGAGATGAAAGGAATGAAAGAAAAGGGAGGTTTAGAGATTGCAGGTACAGGGTGCCCCACAGAACATGACAAGCTAGAAGAAGCTTCAAGGTCGTCTTTGACATAAGAATTAATTTGCTAAATAAAAGTGAAATCCGAACGATGCTTAATATCTCCCGTATTGAAAGCATAACAATGGCAGACCACATTTTGGAAATGCCAGACTAGGTGAATTTTGTGGATATTGTTTTGAGAACCATACTTGTAAAAGTAGGTTGAAGACTGAATGTCACAAATAAATTTAAAGTTCTAAGACGACTTTCAAAGCGTCTTCCTACTGCTATTTTTCATGGAACACCCTGTATAAAGAATTTGGTTCCGATTTCAATTTATTGAGTAAGACCGAAATTGTCGAAATAAGCACAAAATATGCCGTGCATATTTTGGAAATACACTTGGACTAGAGCACTTTTAAAATAATAGTATTTAAATATTGGATATTAAACATTAGATGCCGGAAATTATCTATGACGAACCCAAAGTTGAATAACGTCCTTTGCCTTAAATATAGAAAGCTAATGGCTTTTTTAATGATTTGACAAAGAAAGAAAGAAGTTCGAGTTGCAGGAAATCGTGAATATAGACCAACACAGTATAAATTCCGTACAATCGTGAATATAGACCAACACAGTATAAATTCCGTACAATCGTGAATATAGACCAACACAGTATAAATTCCGTACAATCGTGAATATAGACCAACACAGTATAAATTCCGTACAATCGTCTCTGAAGTCTCATCCTAAACGGGCAATTCCCTGTATTAGCTCATTAGTTTTGTGGGTTTTGATACAAATTATTACTATTTTTTACTTAAGACAATGCATTTTATATATAGCTACTATAAATAAAAGATCAACCATTATTCCGTGGAAATCAAGGCGGAGGTCCCCTAAAAAATAACCACTGAAGGACGGAAATTGATGTAATAGTAATATTGTCTCAAGAGTCTCAATTCATTGAAAACAGAACATTTTTCATTCATAATATGAATGTTCCATGCACAGAACCAGACTTCCGAATAAACTCATAAAAATATGTAAAACAGTACCTTAAGGTTTCTCAGTAATAAATTTTGATATAGAAAGAATCTATGTACTATGTACAGGGTGTCACACAAAACATGACAGTTGATGAATAGTTTGGAATGTCGTCTTCCAAATACTGGATAAGATTTAAAGACTTTTTGCAGTTTAATTCGGTAGAAAAATCTTTTACTTCAATATATATTAATCTGCGATCGATTTTACTATAATAAAACTACCATATAATGTTTATTATTATTCTCTTTGGTATCAAGCAACAAGAAGATATTTTAAAATATTCACAAACAGTTGTGTTTCGTGGTACACCCTGTAAATTTTGGTCTTTTCGTAACCCAAGGAGTATTGAATAACATGGATCAGGGAGAGCAAAACGACCCATTTCACCTCTTCATATGGTTAAACATGTTTTGCTGGCCAGTCCAGTTGGAAAAAATGTCTTAATAGGTCGTTTTTGAATTAGATGTAGTTTTTTCATTTTTACTTTACTACATAAACTCATCTTTTTATTACAAAAATACCCACTCCATATTATTCTATACTCCGTGGGGTAAAACTGTATCAATTATCTTTTATGTTTAGGTCGTTTACCTGTAGTAGCCCAGGATAGGTTCAAGTTTGATCCAAACCGTAGCAATGCCATCAAGGAATAGCTTAAACATTAAACATTTTAATAATTTGATTTCATTCACAAACATTCTTTATTCGATCTCTCTTTTTTGTTTGAAAAATGGTTTTAAATATTTTTATTGTTTTAATATTATTTAAATTTAGTTTTTATCAATAATTTTTATTTTGACTATTGATTTATGCAAAACTAATGTTTGGCCGGATATAGGTTATAAATCAGATGGAAGGAGGGGATGGTCGATCTGCTTAATCTCATAACTATCAGTTCTTTTTACTACATCCATATTCGTGGTACCATTATAGGAAACTAACCTTTTCCTAACTTTAGACCTCTCCGTTTCCATAGGATTCTATTCCATGTACTGCAGTCAGGTCTACGGTTTCATAGGATCCTATTCCATGCACTGCAGTCAGGTCTACGGTTTCATAGGATCCTATTCCATGCACTGCAGTCAGGTCCACGGTTCCATAGGATCCTATTCCATGCACTGCAGTTAGGTCTACGGTTCCATAGGATCCTATTCCATGTACTGCAGTCAGGGATGGGCAAATAGCTAGATTCGTTTTACAGAAACTTTTAAGATTTTTAGACTTTTAAAAGGTTTTACGGCAATCTGAGAAGGTTCCAACATTTTAAAATTGTATTGTATAGAAGTCTGCTTTTTTCAAACATGTAATTTTCAAGGCAAAAACAAACTAAAAACGATAGTTTTTGCCCTATATTTTCTTTGATAAAAGCAAACTTCTACAGAATATAATTTTAAAATTTTGGAATCTAGCTATTGCCCATCCCCAACTGCAGTTAGGTCTAAAATTCCATAGGATCCTGTTCATGTACTACAGTCAGGTCTACGGTTCCATAGGATCATATTCCATGTAATGCAGTCAGGTCTACGGTTCCATAGGATCCTATTCCATGTAATGTAATGCAGTCAGGTCTACGGTTCCATAGGATCCTATTCATGTACTGCAGTTAGGTCTAAGGTTCCACAGGATCCTATTCATGTACTGCAGTCAGGTCTACGGTTCCATAGGATCCTATTCATGTACTGCAGTTAGGTCTAAGGTTCCATAAGATACTATTCCATGTACTTCAGTTAGGTCTACGGTTCCATAGGATCCTATTCATGTACTGCAGTTAGGTCTAAGGTTCCATAGGATCCTATTCCATGTAATGCAGTAAGGTTCCATAGGATCCTTTTCATGTACTTCAGTTAAGTCTAAGGTTCCACAGAATCCTATTCCATGTAATGTAGTTAGGTTTAATATTCCATAGGATCCAATTCCATGTACTGCAGTTAGGTCCAGGGTTCTATAGAATCCTATTTCATGTACTGATTTAGTTAGGTCTACGGTTCCATTGGATCTTATTCCATGTACTACAGTTAGGTCTAAGGTTCCATAGGATCCTAGTCCATGCACTGCAATTAGGTCTAAGGCCAGTTCTATTGGATCCACTTACATGTACTGAAGCTAGGTTCTATAGGATCCTATTAATTTAATGCAGTTAGATCTAAGGTTCCATAGAATCCTATTCCATAGGATCCATAGAATCCTATTCCATAGGATACTATTAAATGTACTGCAGTCAGGTCCAAGGTTCTATAGGTTCTTATTCCATGTACTATAGTTGGGTTCTATCTTCAAGTTTTATTGGATACTATTCTATGAACTGCGGTTGGTTCTATTGGATACAATTCCATGTACTGTAGTTGGGGTCTATCTTCTAGTTTTATTGGATACTGTTCTATGAAGTGCTGTTGGGTTTTATTGGATACTATTCCATGTACTGTAGTTGGAGTTTATCTTCTAGTTTTATTGGATACCATTCTATGAACTGCAGTTGGGTTCTATCGGATACTATTCCATGTACTGTAGTTGGATATATGGTTCTCCTAAAGAATATGTGTACCTGTATTTACTAACATTCCATTTATTTTAACAAAATCCTTTTACTTCTATTACCCTGGAAATAAATAAAGCGCATAGAGATTATCCCACATAGAGTTCATGATATATCATAAATAAATGTTTTTCTTGTGGATGAAAAAAAAATACAAGTTTTCCAATAAAGATTTAATAAATTCATTAAACATTAGAAGGAGAGTAATCATAAAAGTTAATTGTTAAGTCACTTAACTGTAATGATATGATCGGGTCAAGTTAAGAAATTTAATCATTCTTTTGCGTAATGTTATCAGCACGGAATAGTTATATTTGGATGAGTAAAGCCAATCCTTTAACTTGCGTGCGCTTCAGACGAATCAGTTATTTAAAAAGTTAGTCTTGTATAGAAAACATTTATTTGAATTGTTACAAACAAAAAATAAAGTAAATTAATTATCAGAATTTTTCAGTTTTCTTCTTTCTCTTGTCTCCATCTTCTAGTTTTCATCCATCTCCTCATCTAGAAATATTCAGAATTTAAATGTTTTATTATCAGAATACTATGACGAGCTTTGAAGGGTTTTTACATACAGGAATAACCACAAAGGATTAGACTGTAAAGACGACCTAAAAGTCTTGACATATGAAGATCTCAATGTTTAGATGGGTTTTACGCCTTGAATTTAGTCTTTTAAAGGCTGATTAATGATTTGTCAAAAATAGAACCTAGTTTACAGTTGCAGGAAATCATGGACATTAAAATAAAAGAACAGACACACACGCTGCATTTACATATGTCTCTGATGTACCTGTAGATGTAGGTTTAGCTCCTCCTGGTATCTGTCCTGTTCTCAGCATCTGGTTCAACCTCTCAACCTCCTCCAACGAACTGGCTTTAGCAATCGCAGCTTTGATATTCTTAACCTGAACAATATCTCTAGTAAATATAAACACAACATTAATTGGCTTTCCTAAACCCCAAAACATCGATGTTTCTTAATTCTGGTTTGAAAACTGAAAATTAACCGATATCTTTGGTTCTAGTTATCAAATTGACCAAAGGGCAAATCTCACAATAGTTATTACATTTGTCATTTTCCTCTACATCTTAAACGGCTTTTATACAATTTTTTAAATAAAATTAAGTAAAAAAGGTAAATATCATACAAATTAGATCTTCGAAAAAAATAAAATCAAAATAATTCGGAAAACAGTAAAGCTAGAATATTGCATATTGAGTAAGATTTCTTTCGATTATTTCTCCAGTACCTGCTCAGGGTTGAGACCAGCAGGATTGGTAGCTTTGTTGGTTGCCTCAGGCAGCGCCGCTCCGGGTACAAACGTCTTGGCCTTCTGTTGAATATCCTTCAACTGGGTTTTCCCTTCCTTAGATTTAAAGAGAAGTTTGGCGGTTTCTCGCTCCTTCTCTTTTATCTTCTTGAAATCCAATACCTAGATACAAGATATCTTGAGTCAAGTTTTATACCTCACTCTTTTACCGGCATTATACATTTATTTCCGTAGTTTAGAAAATGAAATTAAAGATAAAAATGTGACATTAATGAGTAATCTCTACCCATACTTTCCACAATATTTTCCTCGTAAATTTATTAACTTTCTACAATTTAGTGATAAAACATTCACTATATATTGGTAACAAATTATTTTTGGAAGGGTGAAAGTAATGAAGGAATGAAAGATGAGTGATTTTTCAACAAAATATTATTCATGTATCTATTGAGAAAATCATATACGTTTTGTGATTTAATTAATAAAAAGAGCAGACGATACATGAAAAACGAAAAAAAATACGAGAAGCACAAAATTTAAAATGAATTTTTTTAGAAATATGTAAATTATTGAGCTCTAGTAGATAATACATTTATTTCACCTTTAGATTAGGGAACTTATGAATGACGTAGGATCTATAGTTTCTCCTGGTTATAACAGGATTGTGTAACAGGGACAGCATTCTCAGACCCTGACAATATTACCTCATTTTTATTTGTTGATTACAGAATTTATAAATATCAATAAAATGTACGGTGTGTTCCATTAAAAAAAAAAACAATATTAGGACGAGCAGTTTTTTCAAGTAACATTTCAAAATGAATCGTAAAGTCTTTATCGTAAGTTACTTTTTATATTTTATTAGAAATAAACCCTCTTAAAATACCTTGATGGTAGTGAGAGGTTCAAGGTCTGCCAGCTCCTGGATTGAGTTGTTAGTGAGTATCAGAGTCTCTAGATGGGGTAGGTTCAACTCCAAACCTGATCAAATAATCAATAATTAGGAGTTAAGGTGGGGTAGGTTCATCTCGGTAAATTCCTAGAGAACGATTATTGGACCCTCCGCCCCTCCCCCCTCCTATCAATTTTGAACATGATTTTTTTCAACAATTTTCAATTAAATGGAAGACATGTGGCCGCAGCGCTCGGCCCTCTAGCCTGTCCTAGCCGCAGCGCTCGGCCCAGAGTGTCTTAACCTAACCTAACCCTAAATAAATAACAATTTAATTGAAAATTGTTGAAAAAGTCATGTACAAAATTGATAGGAGGGGGGGTGGGTCCAAAAATCGTTCTCTAGGACGGACCCTTCATCTCCAAACCTGATCAAATAATCAGTAATTGGGAGTTAAGGTGGGGTAGGTTCATCTCCAAATCTGATGTTAATTAATTACTTTTATATACAATTATAAAAACAATCTGGGAATAGATGCATAACAACTAGAAGTTAAGACTCATCTACATTTTAAGCATTAAAACATTTTGTAATTTATTTTATGACAAAAAAAGAAGGTAACATCCTTACCTTCTGAAATCCTGACAATTCTGTTGTTGTTCATGAGAAGAGTTTTAACCCTGGAGAGGAACGGGAACCCGTCTAGTTTACGGATCTCATTGTCACTGAAGTCGATTGTATCAAACTGGTCCAGGGTAGAGCCTAAGTTCTCTATGACCGGAATCTTGTAACCACGAAGATCTAGTTCCCGGTCACGAATAGGGTTGATATACTGCCCAGCGCACTCTATCAGGTCCGGAGTGCATTTCACCATTTTGGAAATCTGAGGAAAAATGATTATTAAAAAGACTTGTATAATATAATTAAATTCCAAATCTTTGAATGGACAACCCCCATATAAAAACATATATAAATATTATAAATCTCATGTCGATATCCAGACTGCAGTATAAAATTGACAGCTGAGTAGAGGAGATCGATATGGAGTTGTGTAAAAATATATTTTCTAGGTAAATGACGTGCATTTACCTAACAAAAATTTTTTAGAGAAAGGCGAAATTAAACATTGCAAAATAATAACATTAGTGATAAAATTTTAGAAACGATGCGCACTCGTAAGCGTAAATAAATAGAATGCCGCGCTGTATTATATCCGGTTATATTTCTGAAATGGAATCATAAAACTAAACAGAAATACAGTTATCAACCAATCAGATTGGTACACGGAGATCTACACTCTTCACAATCCGTCCTGCAGTTTACACAGACACAACAAATACTTTAATTAAGCCAACATTTAATGTTAATTAATTATAATTAATTCGTTAAAATGGCAGTCAGTAAATAATTTAATTTATCAGTTAGTCGTATCAAAGTGTAAAATGAGTGAAATATTTCGAGAAAAGTTGAGAAATGCGTCTAAATTATCGGAGGAGCGGAGGAAAAAAGAAATCGGAGAGAGTAAAATTCAAAAGCAAGATGAATACGACAATATGTTTAAGGTTGGTATTATATTTGTTCTATTCCTTCTTTTCAATAGTTATTCCACAAAAGTTTGATATCATCTATACCTTTACATGATCTGCACTCTCTGCACTGTTGACATTTTACAAAAATCCCAATAATAGGAAATTGGGTCCGTCCTAATATACAAATTTTTGCCCGCCCCCCCCCCTCCCTCTCCTGTAAATTTTGTAAGTGACCACTAATTTTCAGCAAAATTATGGGGGGGGGTCCAAAAATCGTTCTATAAGGAATTACATTTTCTATAACCTATCAACAGTAGAAAACCTTCCCATTTTATATATCCATAAAAATAGAGATTACTACGTAAAGTAACTAAAAACCCTAACTTTTTTATAAAATTTTCCATGTGTTAAACGACTAATTAAAGTTCAAATAAGTAAAATTCTGAATATTTAGGACGAATATCTCCGCCTAACTGGTAAAAATGAGAAACTAACTGGAACCTACTCCGTGATCCCTCCTTTCTATAAACCTCTTCCTAAGGAGGAGGACGTTTTACAGCAGAAACTCAGGTATTGTGTATTGGTAAAAATATAAATTAAAAAACTAGGTATGAAATAAAACAATGTTAAGTGTACATAAAGAAACATGGATACTGCTCCTTTAATAACTCAAAATCCTCATCTGAACTAAAATTAATAATTAAGAATATTATTTAGAGAGGAGGCAAGAGCGCATTTTTTACAACGAAGATCCCGCCAACTTCTTGATAACACGGAGCTCAAGGAACTCTGGGTCATCCTGGATACACATACCACTCCCCCACCCTCGGGAGAGGAGCAGATGATGGACTACAATCAGTACAAGGTCGTCTCCGGGCTTGTCGGAGAAAAATGCAGGGTATACTTGACTCCGACCTTGTTTGCTAAGCTTCAACAGGGGGATAGGATGGGACGAATATCAATCATGGCTCTGTTTAACTATATCATGCGTAAGGTTTGGTTGCATCAGACCAGGATAGGTTTGAGTTTGTATGATGTTACAGGACTTGGGTTTCTCCGGGAGTCTGATCTGGAAAATTATATTCTTGAATTGATTGAAACATTACCTCAGCTGGACGGATTGGAGAAATCATTCCATTCATTTTATGTCTGCACTGCAGTCAGGAAGTTTTTCTTCTTTCTAGATCCGCTGAGAACAGGAAAGATAAAGATTCAGGACGTTCTCGCCTGCTCTTTCCTTGATGATCTTCTTGAACTTCGAGATAATGAACTACCAAAGGATGCTCAGGACGCAAACTGGTTCTCAGCACCCTCCTCACTTCGTGTATATGGACAGTACCTCAACCTGGATACGGATCATAATGGAATGCTAAATCAAACTGAACTAAGAAAATATGGAACAGGAACACTAACACCAGTCTTTGTGGAACGCGTTTTCCAGGTGTGTCTGACCTATGAAGGAGAAATGGATTATAAAACCTACCTTGATTTTGTGCTTGCAATGGAGAACAAGAAAGAACCACAATCTCTACAGTATCTGTTCCGTATCCTGGATATCCGACATGACGGGTTCCTCTGCCTCTTCTCTCTCAATTATTTCTTTCGCGCAATTCAGGAGGAGATGAAGAAACATAACCAGGATCCGGTCAGTTTCGAGGATGTCAAGGACGAGATATTCGACATGGTTAAACCTGAAGATCCGCTCAAGATCACCCTCGCAGACATGATCCGTAGTGAGCAGGGGGACACCGTGGTGAGCATACTCACAGACCTCAACGGGTTCTGGAGTTATGAGAACAGGGAGGTTCTCGTTGTTGACTCCGGAGATAATGATGATTCTTGACAGGACGAGGAGATCATAATCTAATCTCGAGAGAAAACAAATCTATCCAACTTGATCTCAATGTAACTATTCTTAACTACATATTTCAAATTTCAGAATAAAATGATCTTTAAGTTTTTGACCTGTTTCCTTTTAGCTGTAAATCAGGTTCATAGCAGGTAAAAAAACATAATTACAGTGGTACATAGTTATTTTTGTTTTGTTTTTATGCTTGAAAGTATGTATTCGAAGGCGTTAATTTTCTAATTTGAACGATTTTTTAGCAACTGTAATTTCTATGGAGTTAAGGTAAATGGAAATATGTAAAATCTAAAATAAAATAGTTCTGTTGCGTATAGGGGTCCCCAGCATGTAACCTGTGGGAGTGTTGTTAAACTGATAAACTCCGGACACAAGATCCGTCTGCACAGTCATGATGTCAAGTATGGATCAGGGTCTGGTCAACAATCCGTCACAGGGATCACTCTCTCCGTAAGTATTTGATTGTTTGCAAATTGTAAAAGAAATAACGACGTCTTCTTCCACAGTTTAAATTTTGAATGTAATGCCCGACCTTTTAATCTTTTAACTCAAGCTGGTGTTAAGGCCAAATCTTGGGTTGACTTTTTATTGGTTCAGTTTATCCAATGAGATTAGGTTGGCTTCTTATTGGTTCTGTTCATCCAATGAGATAAGGTTGGCTTCTTATTGGTTCTGTTCATCCAATGAGATAAGGTTGGCTTCTTATTGGTTCTGTTCATCCAATGAGATTAGGTTGGCTTCTTATTGGTTCTGTTCAACCAATGAGATATGCTTTCAAAATTGTGTCTGAATAATCACAGCTTAATAGATCCAGATGTGCAGTGTGAATTTAAAAAACTCAAACTTTACTTACCTATATTGTGTGTTTATTTTATAAATCTAGCCTTTGACACAATAGATAATACTCGAGATTTAAAAATGTAAAAATGTAATAGTAAGTTTAAAAAAATTACAATCTCCGGCTGCAAGTCTGATGGAAGATAAAAACAAATAGGCCAGCTTTACTAGCTTAAACTTTACTTGGACGTAAATAGACGTTAAAGCCGAGATTTACTCTAACTTAAGCTTTCAAAATCTCAGCTTACTAATACAGTTTTAAAATGCAATCTTAGTTTAATTTTCGATTTATTTATCTAACCCTGGTTTAAGGACGTTATATCCCGGGGGGGGNCTGCTTTTCATGCACACAGAAAATTCCTTTTCACAATCCAGTAGCTAATAAAAATTGCTTTTCATCCAGGTTTTAATAATTTGTTTTTGTTTCTCCAGGAGGATGTGAACAGTCACTGGACGATAAAGGGACCCGGAGAGCTGAACTACTGTACACGAGGAGAACCTGTACAGTGTGGACAGAAGATAAGATTAGAACATCTCACAACTCATCGTAATCTTCATTCTCATCTATTCTCCAGTCCTCTCTCTAATGCACAGGTTTACAATTTTGTAAAGGAATTATGTTTATGTGTTTATGTTTTGATTTGAATATTTTCAGGACTCCAGGTGGAGTTTACATTATAAAAGAGAATTCATATTCATATATCACATAAATATGCAGATACAATTAAATTCAATATTTACGTATATTTAGCACATTAAATGTAAAAAGGAAGGAATTTAAATTTTTGGTCGATTTTTTTCGACATTTTTGTTTTTAGCCTTTTTAATATTCTTTTTTGTCCCAACATTATTTGATAAAAAAGAATCAAGACAACACTTCATTAAGCAGATTAGATGACAACAGATTATAATGTTTACATAATTTTCATATATAGATTTAAAAGTTAATGAAAACCTTAATAAAAATATTTCTTGAAAATTAAAACTTTCAAGAATAGAGAAAACACTCTAAAAAATCTCTTTTCTGAAAACTAAAATTTTGTAAATATTAATCCTTTTTACTATTGTTTAAAATCAAAAGCAACAAAAAAATTAAAATAACAAAAGAAATCAAAATAATAAAAGAAATCAATACGTTTTTGTGTGAAATGCATTCTAAATTCTACAATCTACAGAGTATAGTTCTAGATTACTAATTATTTTATTAAAATCAAAGAAATACATAGATATATTAGGGGAAATTAAAAAATCAATTAAACACTTGCATTAAACTAAAATATCTTAGCAACCTTATGACTTAGAAAGAACTTTGATAGTTTAAATTTGTATTTTGCTAGATCAAATATTTAAAAAAAAAACAATCATTTTAAAATGGATAGAGATAGGAAATTTAGAGTTTGAGACAAATATTTAGTTCGTTTTATTTTAGGAAGTATCTGCATTCGGTGAATCTGGTGTAGGAGATACCGGAGATGTCTGGAGCGTGATTTGTGAAGGAGATTTCTGGAACAGGGACGGGAAGGTTCGGTTCAAGCACCAGGATACTGGAGTTTATCTTGCTGCCAGTGGACATGCTTTCGGTAGACCAATCAATGGACAGGTTGGACATTTGTAAATAAAAGAAAGTTCCAAGATCATTTATTTTTGAAAGATTTACTTCATGTCTTGAAGTTTAAGTAATCTTCATATGATATCAAGTTTATAGACCCATTGATAATCAAAAATATACAAACTTTTCTTCTATAAAAGTTTCTCTTTGATTCTAACACTGTTGTAAGGTGGTTACGAACTTCACTGTATGTAAAACGGATGTTGTAATGAACACTGTACAGTGGACATTGTACACAACAGTGAGTAACGTAAACTTTACATGCTGAAGTAAACAAAGCAGTTTAAAATGTACCATTTGAAGAAGGTTATGGGTAAAAAAATATTAGCTAATATTTATCAAAATAAACCCATTTTTCTCTGTTCACTTTTCTTGCCAAGAAATTTGGAATTTATGAATAGAGAAGAAGTTAAACTAGGTACGGATAGTTGCTTTTTCTCTAGTGTTGCCCAGAGTGCTCTAGAAAAGTAGTTCAATAAGCCAAGCATAGTTCAATTACTTCTTCCTTTATATACAGAGCGTCCCATATCAAATTGGATTATCTTCAAGCTTTAACGCCGAAATACGCTTATAATATTCAAAAATAATCTAGTATTTTCTGCAAGAAATTCTTATATTAGCCTCATACACTTTTTTAAATTTACTGAAAAGTCCCTAAAATCTCTATTTAGAGCTATAAACGATCTAATATGATGTGTGCATTCCAATAAAATCTGTGAATGAATTTCTAAACTGTGTTCTAGATGGAGATTGTTGGATCTAGTTCTGTAGATGGATCTACCAGCTGGACTGCTCAGGAGGGAGTTTATATTCATCAGTCAGATTTTAATCCAAACAAATCCACATTGGGGCACGATGAACTTTAAACATTTTCTTGTGTTTGCACAAAACTGTGATATTTTAGTTGTTTCCTCAGTCAAGGATTTCTTGCAGTTTTTTTCTCTTAGATTTATAAATTGAATCGGAATCTTAACAACTTAGTAAAACTTAACGGGAACTTAAGTAGATCAGTAAATTTTCCTACTGACATGTACAATCGTGTACACTGTACGATGTACATTCATTTTCAGTAACGCTAACTTACACGATTTTATCCTTGTTAGTGAACAAAGTTGTTAGTCATTTTATGATTTTTTTTGTCAAAAACAGCATGATTGTCATCAAATATTCGTCTGATCGTTGACAAATATTATTAGCTTTATAAGTTATGCTATTTTAAGATATGTCGTTTTTTTCTAATTTTAACTATCCCTCTGCTCCCACAAAAATAAAAAATAAGAAAATTATAAAATTTAGTAATCTGCTCAACAGATATCAATATTAAAAATATATTGAACGTTGATGATCTTTCTTCAATATTTGTTCTCTTAAATTGTTGGATTGCTTGTAAAAAGTCGGTGAAATATTTTTATTGTTCATAAATAAGAATTTTGTTTTTAACCTTAAATCTCAGTTTTTTGGTTAGATTATCGCAAAATTTCCCGAATTACACGATTTTGTTAATGTAGTGAAATTTTCGTGTGTTTAATAAAAATCTAAGTTAAAAACCTAGTTAGATTAAATTTAGTTTTTAACAATATGTTTTTATAACTATATTCATAGAACAAGTAATTTGAAAAGTCGTCGATTGTGATTTTTCTTCTTATAACAATTTAGGAGGAATATAGGGAATTTAAAGGGAGTGTTCGCGAAAATGAAAGGGGGTATAGTCTTATAGCGAAAAATAAGCGCTTTTAAACGCTACCAGTCTTAATTTTATCTGTTGAGTCTATAAGGAGAAAATTGTTAAAACCCACTGATAACGAAGAACGTAGCACGTCCGTACAAATGCAGAAAGTTGCAGCATTCAACTCGGATCGTAAAAAAATCAATTTGATTCCAAAAAAATCAAACAGATATTACAATCAACAATCACAAATAATTTTTCGACGCATTCGTTTATAGTTAATATTTCATAACATTTTTATTTTTTTTATGATCAGAGCTGAAAATTTTAGAATGGGATATTCTTAATCCCGATTTGTTAATTGATCTTGAGATTAATAACAAGAGGAGTACAAGCTCTATTTAATCTGGAGATTAATAAAAAGAGGAGATCAAGCAATGATATCAATATCCACTATTCTAAAGTTTTCAGCTCTGATAGTTAATTTTGTAAACATTTATTCCTGTTTCGAGGATTTTTTATAATGAAAACGACATTCTCATATTTTTCAAGATTGTTCGAAAATCCAGCGACAGCGAAATATTATAAAAAAAATCAAAATATTTCATAATATTAAATTTATACAATGCGTTGAAAAATAATCGATGACTATTGTTTGTAATATCTGAATGATTTGTTAGGAATTAAATTGATAATTTTACGATCCGAGTTTATAACAAAATTCTCCTTATAGACTCAACAGATTAAAGTAAGATTAGTAGTGATCAAAAGCGCTTATTTTTTCCCGTAAGCCTGTAACCCCTTTCATTTTTCGCGAACACTCCTTATAATACCAAAATTCATTTGATGAATTTCGTTTGAGTACATTTTCCCGTCCTAAATCTGTAACCACAGTTCTAACCAAATAACAGGGGTTTATAATTTCCAAAAATAATTTCCCCCTTTAGAAAGTAATTTTCATTTTCCATAAAATTGAAGAATATTTGGGTATAAGTATCAAAAAAGAATGAAAAAACTTTAGCCTTTTGATGTCCCATTTTTCATTATTTCCCCCTTTCATCAAAAATCACTGGAGGAGAATTCTGAAAATATACACCCTTGTCAAATTATCACCCTTTATGACCCATTTGGGACTAGATCGAAAATTGTCAAGCTTATTTGAATCCCAGTTTGAATTTATTTTAGTTTTATGATTCCCTTGAAGGTTTCTCTATTTCCCAGCTCTGTATCTCGTCTTTACTCCGGGTAATACTAACTACTAGTCTGCAGACCCAGAGCAGAGAAACCTGCCACGTAAACCTTGCCGAGAGCTTTACTAAAATAAAATTAGAAAATGTTATCGTATACAACTCTAGATTTGGTTTCATCAGAAATTGTCATCGTACGTTATTTCTCAGTTGTCGTCCGATGTTTATCCTAATTTTGTCAGTTTTATTGTATTACGGTTACAAAGTGCATAGTGCAAAACATGAAAGTTGTTTATGTGAAAATTATCAGAAATCTGTAGTCATTTAGTATTATAAGTGATGTGAACTCGATTATATGTTTTTTTTTTATGTGCCTTTATTTATAATCTCGTCAACGTGGTTCTTTATTTCAGTGAGAATGCCACTAAAGCTTGACATTAAGCGGAAACTGACCGCTAGGTCTGACCGTGTAAAGTCATGTGACCTCCACCCCACTGAGCAGTGGATGCTGGTCTCCCTGTACAACGGGAATGTGCATATATGGAACTATGAGTCCCAGCAACTCGTTAAATCGTTTGAAGTTTGTGATCTACCGGTGAGAGCTGCTGTATTTGTTCCCAGGAAGAACTGGGTTGTGACTGGATCCGACGATATGCAGGTGAGCTACTAAATAATGTTTTGTATGTATGTCTCATTTCTGTGCGTCTGATTTATGGGTTCTCAATTTGCGTCCTCGTTATAATACAATACCCCGTAGTACGGTCTCATTTGTATGTAAGAATAAGTGCCTCCTTATTATAATACATACCCCATAGTACGGTCTCATCTGTATTTAAGAATAAGTGCGTCCTTATTATAATACATACCCCTTAGTAAGGTCTCATCTTTATGTTAGAATAAGTGCGTCCTCATTATAATACATACCCCATAGTACGGTCTCATTTGTATGTAAGAATAAGTGCGTCCTCATTATAATACAAACCCCTTAGTAAGGTCTCATCTTTATGTTAGAATAAGTGCGTCCTCATTATAATACAAACCCCATAGTACGGTCTCATCTGTATTTAAAAAAAAGTGCGTCCTCATTATAATAAATAGCCCGTAGTAAGGTCTCATCTTTATGTTAGAATAAGTTCGTCCTCTTTATAATACAAACCCCGTAGTACGGTCTCATCTGTATGTAAGAGTAAGTGCGTCCTCATTATAATACATACCCCTTAGTAAGGTCTCATCTGTATGTAAGAATAAGTGCGTCCTCATTTTAATACATACCCCATAGTACGGTCTCATCTTTATGTAAGAATAAGTGCGTCCTCATTATAATACATATCCCGTAGTACGGTCTCATCTGTATGTTAGAATAAGTGCGCCCTCATTGACTTAATTCCACAGAAAATGTTTTTAACTATTGCCAGCTTCATTGAGGGACGTAGAGTCTTTTATATATAGAGTTTTATATGTTCTCTAAGTCGTCTTGGATACCTGGATTCGGATCCTGGCCCAAATACAATATTGGATTATATCCAAGCTTTAACTCAAATACCCACATATTACTCGAAAAACCTAATATTTTCTGCATACACAGTTTTATATTCCCCTTGAGAATTTTATTCTTTTAAATTTTCTGATCAGTACCGAAAATTCCAATTTAGAGCATAAACGATCTAATACGATGTGGGACGATGTATGAAAGGTATTCAAATTTAGAATGAGATCATGAACCTAAATGATATAGCAGGGTATTTGAGAGAGTTTGTCAGGGTTAAAAGTAATGAAATCGGCGGGGTTTTTTCTTATTCGGTGGCCGGATGAGGGGGTGGATACAGGGGCTTTACTTTTATTAGGGGGTAATTTGTCTGAAGATGCCGAAAAGTTAAATCTTTATCTAGATTTAGTCCCAAAATCATGCAGAATGTTTAAAAATTCTCGAATTTTTTATTCAAAAATGTTTTGTTTGCTATGAACCCTTTCACTGTCTTCTAAAATACATATTTTTGATCAGATCAACTCAGCTGAACTGAATAGTTTTTCTAATCAATTATTTTCCAATTTAAGGGATTTTGTAAATACTAAATTTGCGAACGACTCGCATCATCAGTTCTATGATTAGAAAAATACTAATTAGAGTGGCGAGGGTAAAGAAGGGGTGCAAGTAGGAATAATATTATGTTTTTTCTCAGGTTTTTTAACCATATTTGATTATTTCAAATTTGAATAACAATATTTTATTTTAGATCCGTGTGTTTAACTACAATACACTTGAGAGAGTTCACAACTATGATGCACACAGTGATTATGTGAGAGCTATTGCTGTTCATCCAACCCAACCTTTCCTTCTCACTAGCAGTGGTAATAATAATTGTTGTTCTCAGTGTTATTTCAGAAAAGATAATTTTACCTAAATCATTTAACTTTAGTTTTCCAAGTTTGAATTTAATATTTCTGTGCCCTTTTCTAAAATTTCTTTCAACACAATAAATCCATTGCCTTTTGTATTTTGATCTTAAATCATAAACAAAGCTAGCTCGTTCAATGGGGACGTATTTAATATTTTTTCTAACCTAATTAAAATCTGATTTTAAATGGTTTAAGACGACATGCTGATAAAACTGTGGAACTGGGAGAAGGGATGGCTGTGCCAGCAGGTGTTTGAGGGACACACCCACTACGTGATGGAGGTGAGGATCAACCCTAAGGATAACAACACCTTCGCCTCCGCCTCCCTGGATAAGACTGTGAAGGTCTGGCAGCTGGGTTCTGCTACTCCTAACTTTACCCTCGAGGGACACGAGAAGGGAGTTAACTGTGTTGATTACTATCACGGAGGAGATAAACCTTATCTTATCTCTGGAGCAGACGATCGTCTTGTTAAGATATGGGATTACCAAAATAAAACCTGTGTCCAGACCCTGGAAGGGCATGCACAGAACATTGCCGCAGTGTCCTTCCATCCTGAGCTGCCGATCATCATCACCGGTTCCGAGGATGGAACTGTTAAGATCTGGCATGCGAATACGTATAGACTGGAAACCACATTGAACTACGGGCTGGAGAGAGTTTGGTCGATCGGTAAGAGCATTGTTATTATCCATCTCATTTAGTCGAATATCAAATTATTATGTTTCATAATCCAAATACAATTTTTGAAGTGAATTTAATTTGAATAGTAAAAAATAATTTTCACCTTACGAAAGATAAACCGATGATTTCATTAGTTAAGATTTTGACTAATAATAGATCTGCTAATCCTCCAGCAGGGTGAGAATGAGCTAAACTCATTCTGTTTATTTAAAAGTTTCCAGCTCGAACAAAAATGAGCTTAATCTAAATCTAGGTGTACTGCGAGGATCCAATAATGTTGCTCTGGGTTATGATGAAGGAGCAATCCTGATCAAGGTTGGTAGAGAGGAACCAGCAATGTCTATGGATGCTGGTGGGAAGATTATCTGGGCTAAACACAGTGAACTCCAGCAGGCCAGCCTCAAGGCTATAGACAGGGAGGAGATTAAGGACGGAGAGAGGTTACCACTCCAGGTTAAGGATATGGGAAGCTGTGAGGTATTTCCTCAGACTGTTCAACACAACCCTAATGGAAGGTAAGAACTTTTAAAATGATTAGTTAATTTTCCTACTGACATGTACAATCGTGTACACTGTACGATGTACATTCATTTTCAGTAACGCTAACTTACACGATTTTATCCTTGTTAGTGAACAAAGNGGGGGGTTCTAGAAGTATGTACAGAAGTTAGAATTTGATTAATACAGAAAATAAACTCAAATACTGAATCCCTGAACTACAACTCATCTTGGTTCAGTATTAGAAACACATTATACCTGATTTTATATATCAAGTATTCATCTCAATAGAAATATGTACTCTAGACTTGACAGACATGAACTCAGAAAGTTTAGTAGAGCTATACTATAGAGTTTAAAATAAATCATTGATGATTTGTCTTGTTTATGTTTTGGTTTTAACTGGATTGGATAAATATGATAATTTTGTTAGGTTTGTTGTTGTGTGCGGAGACGGAGAATATATCATCTACACCGCCATGGCACTGAGAAACAAATCCTTTGGTTCAGCTCAGGAGTTTGTCTGGTCGGCAGACTCATCGGAGTACGCAGTCAGGGAGTCATCATCCAGTATTAAACTATTCAAAAACTTCAAGGAGAAGAAATCCTTTAAACCAGAGTTCGGAGCGGAGAATATATTCGGAGGAAATCTGATCGGAGTAAAATCTGTTTCTGGTTTGGCGTTCTATGATTGGGAAAACCAGGTAATAAACAATCTCTATATTTATAATTGGGTTGTCTGTTGGTTATATTTTTTTGTGGTAACTCACATAACCTACTAAAAAGTTTGTCGCAGGTCTAAAAAAAAAAAAATTGCTATAAAAATTCGAATTTAAAAATGTTGGAAATCCGCGAATTTTTTATTAACTTTAAGCTTGTAGGTCTTGTTACAAAATAACTTGATAATGAATTCCATGTTGATAAATGATGATAACCAAAATATCTGTCCAGGATCTGGTGAGAAGGATTGAGATCCAACCTAAGGCAGTTTACTGGTCCGAGAGCGGAGAACTCTGCTGTATTGCAACCGAGGAGAGTTATTTTATTCTCAAGTTTAACAACGAAGCAGTCGGAGCTGCAGCTGAAAATAAGGATAAGGTAAATCTACGGGCTTAGAATTAAAATCAGACACATTTCTAATGTGTATTGAATCTTAGTATTTTAACTGCATTAAAAGGAACTTATCAATTTCTTAATAATCCGTATTTCTAACCCTTATAGCTTTATAACCTACTGTCGAAAGACATTTTATTATTAAGAATTCTGCCAGATCAATTAATCTGAAATTTCTAAATTTACACCATCAGATACGTACATTGCATTAAAGGTGTTGATTCGCATAAATTGTTTTAGAAAACCTGTCATTTTTTATTTCTGAGAAAATAGTTTTTGATGCTTTTAGTATATTTTTTTCAATTTTTATTTTTGGTGTTTTTTCCAGATCTCTGAGGATGGAATCGAGGACGCGTTTGATGTGTTGGGCGAGGTCACGGAGTCTGTTAAGACTGGTCTCTGGGTTGGAGATTGCTTTATCTACACAAACAGTGTGAATAGATTAAACTATTATGTTGGAGGAGAGATCGTAACAATCTCACATCTGGACAGGTCTTAATACATTTTCTACTATTTTTTATAAATCATGATTCAATTAAATTTTAAACATTTTCCATGTCGTTTCTCATTAAACTTTATTTTACCTAACTAATATTTATTTTTATTGTCAGGACGATGTACTTGTTGGGGTATATACCTACAGACAGTAGGTTGTATCTTGGAGACAAGGAACTGAATGTTGTCAGCTTCCAGCTTCTCCTCTCCGTCCTGGAGTACCAGACTGCTGTCATGAGACGAGATTTCGAAACTGCTGATAAGGTAAGGACTTAAGTATGTTAATTTACAACCTTAAGTCGTAACTTTTGTATCGTTAATCCATACAAAAACTTAAGCACTAATCTTAATCTTTTGTGGTCTGGTGGATTAACTTAGATCTTTGTGGATATTTTTGAAGAACGAATTTAGAACCAATCAGAGGTCATAAAAAATATACTTTCGGGTTTTTCACTTAACCATGAGCATTGAAAGTTTCTATTCTTGATATCGAGTTCAGGCTTCTATGATTAGCGCAACTTCATACAAAACATAGAACCAGCTCTTATTAGAGTACTTAATTACCAAATGTTAATTTGAAAGAAAACAAAAAAGCTATTAAAATTGTGGTTCCTTGATCATATATTTTGATTTCGTCTTAATAAGTTGATATATTAAACATATTCAGGTGTTACCGACAGTTCCCAAAGAGCAGAGAACCCGTGTTGCACATTTCCTTGAGAAACAAGGGTTTAAGAAACAAGCTCTGGCAGTCAGCTCCGATCCGGAGCATAAGTTCGACCTTGCAATCCAGCTCGGAGATCTAGAGGTGGCAACATCTCTAGCGAAGGAGGCAGGATCAGAGCAGAAGTGGAAACAGTTGGCAGAGCTGGCAACAAGCCGAGCAAAGTTTGATCTAGCGCAACAATGTTTACACGAAGCTCAGGATCACGGAGGTTTACTCCTCCTGGCAACTGCAGCTGGGAACGCAGAGATGGTTGAGAAACTAGGTTCGTCCTCTGAAGAGAGTGGGAAGCATAACGTTTCCTTCCTCTCCTACTTCCTGCTGGGAAACCTAGAGAAATGTTTAGAGATTCTAATTTCAGCAAATAGAATACCGGAGGCTGCTTTCTTTTCCAGGTAAATCTTCTATATAAATAAAGTAGCAGTCTGTTTGTCCGATCATAACTTGTGAACCCCTTGACCGATTTGCCTGCAATTTTTAGTTTGGAACTTTGTGGAACGTTAGGAATGTTCTTAGTCTGGTTTTAACATTTCTAGTTCAGTGGGTTGATATTTATTATTTATAGAGAAAGCTTAGTTTCCAGGCTCATCTGGGTTTCTAAGTTAGTTACAAAATTAAAATGCGAAAAAAAATTTACTCAGCAAAAATGACAATTTGCAAGAGTTTTCTCCGACAATCGTAAAAAAAACCTGATATTTTAGAACCTATCTACCGAGTCAAGTATCCAGAGTAGTTGAACTGTGGAGGGTTCAGCTCGGCAAGGTATCGGAGAAAGCAGGACAAAGTTTAGCAGATCCTAAGGATTATCCGAACCTGTTCCCTGAGTTCGATGCTGCAATTAGAGCAGAAACTATGCTGAAGAAGGAGAGATCTCAGTTTATCCCAGCAGCAGATTATCTAGAAATTATGGTAGGTTTTTTAATACACAATTACTTTCTATTTTCACCATCATTTGTGCAAATAGGGAAAATTGGCGGAAAGCAAATAAGGGGGGAGGGCACAATTCTTTTAATTATTTGATAATTTGACGCACATTACAATCAGTATCCTAAAACCTTCATTTTTTACAGAGCCGGGTACTTCCTGAGCCTCTAATAGTATATCATATTACAAACTTTTTCTATTTTCAGCCAAATCATGAGCGTAAACCTCTTGAAGAGCTGAATGCTGGAGCAGAGGTTGATGACGATGATATTATGGATGAAAAAGATCATCCTGTCATGGGTAAGTACAAAGTAAAATAAGAGATTTTAATTTGGACTCTAAAGGTCCACACAAAGAGGCGCAACTTACCAAGAACTTATTCCAAAATTATTTGCACTAATTAAATTTTTTATAATTGGACTTGAATTTATTTTTTTGTTTTTCAAAATAGTTAATCGGAAGAGTTTGGTCGTTGAAAACATAGAAGCGGAACCAGATTGGGAAATGGAAGACGATATTCTTAGCTCGGTTTCAAACGAGGATTTAGAGAATAATTCTGAAAACGAAATATCCGAGAATAATTTAGAAGATAATGATGGGAATGATGAGGGTGAGAAAGTAGTTCGGTTTGAATAGTTTGTGTTTAGCTGAGAAACTTTTGTAAGAGCAGCACAACCCTGTACTTTATTGCACTGTTTTATTTCTTTTCTTGATTTTGTTCTGATCGGTGGAGGATTAAACTTGATCAAATAATATTATTTATAAAAATTGTATGTTTAGGTGAACCTTCCAAACCCTCTGCTCCTGTTCCAGTCCAGGTTCAATCAGCTGATGATCTTGAAGCTGAACTTGAAGCAGACCTGGAGAATATTAAGTTGGATGATATTGATACATCCGACGTGAACCTTGATGATGAAGACTTATTGGAGGATTAGAACCGGAGGAGATTTGTAAAAAAGTCTTGCATTTCCATACACGGCTCACCAGTGATAGTTTATATGTTTTATTTATATTTGGTTTGAATTGTGATGAGATATTTTAATGTATTCGTTTGATAATATATTTTGTTTATATGTTTTATTTATATTTGGTTTGAATTGTGATGAGATATTTTAATGTATTCGTTTGATAATATATTTTAAGCCACTCGACTATAAAATGATCTCACAAAATCAAGGGTTAGAACCTAGCAACCTACACGAGTTTAAAGTAAATATTAAAAAGATTTGCATTTTAAACACAGACAATGTTTCATCAAATCAAATTATACAGGGTGCCCTAAAAAGCATGGGAATTAAGTATTCTTCATGTGAACACATGTGCGGCATCATTTTGTGTAAACAATTTTAGAAGCATCCCAGTTAAAATAGTTTACATTTAGAATTTAAAGTCTCTGAAACTCCAAATTTGGGGTTTTCTTATTTTTCCTACAAAACTACATATATTAGAAAATGAGAACTTTGTCAAGATATAAATCTTCAAATCGCAGCTTCCATTCTTGTGAAGACCACATTTTTAAGAACCTTTTAAGACGTACAATCTTTCAATGCACACTGTTATTCATCTATCGGAAATCAAAGACGATTTTTAAGTCGCCTTTTAATTTTCATGTTTATTGGGACACCCGTTACTTTATTTAAAATTACTGTATTTAACATTTAAGGAGTACCCTTCATTTAAGTATTTCAAAAACATGTTTCCTCAGGAACACGTCTCATGTGACTATGTCTTTTTGGATTGGTCAATGACATTGGACAAGCAGCAAAATTTAACTTTAAATTCTGAATGTTTGGTTTGAATAGAAACACAGACATAGTAACCTACAATGGATGCCACTTGAATGACGGAGCAAACAAATTTGGGACAAAGATCTGAAGGTTGAATTTGGTCTGTTGATGTTAACATACAGGGTGTCCCACATCATATTAGACCGAGAACGGGTCTAAATTGCAATTTTCGGGACTAATTAGAAAATTGCATTAGAATGAATCATTTGGAAAAATAACATAAGGCTTATATAAGAAAATTCTTGCGGAAAATGATAAGTTTTTCGAGTATCAAGGCTTTATTTTGGTGTTAAAGATTCGAGATAATCTAATATGATATGGAACGCTCTGTATATTATCCTTACACTTTGTCACTTAAAGTGACTTACATTTTGTCACTTCATGACTTCGTATAGAAAGAAACAAGTTTTAAGTTGTAGGGAATAAAAAAAAGTGTACTACACATCACCTCTTCTTTCTGTTGTTCTTTAATGTTCTAACTTTAAAATGGACTAAATTGTAGGATGGGGGGCAGGGGGTCTTGCTCTCCCCCCTGTTTACGCCCAATTGGGCAATGAGCATGGCTTCTAATCGCGATTTTTAGAAATTTATTGGAAAACAATATGCTATATAAAGAGAGAACCATAAATCTCCGTGACTGGAAAACGACTTTCGGACTCAAGGTCCAATAAACATGAGACTCAAGAGACACAGCAATTGTGCTGTGTTAACAGATTCATTTCAATAATTAATTGATTTGATACGTCACTAGAAAACTGCTAAATTGCTAAATTGCTAAAATGTCGTCTTCCTATTCCACATTTTTCTGGTTATCATAAACTTCAAGATCACAACTTAAAATAAAATTTTACATTTTTAAAATCTTCTTTTCACACCTGGTATTGACTTCTCAAGCAGAAAGTACATTACCTATCCTCTATTCTAACATGTGCAGTTGAATCGTGCATAGAGAATATTCAAGGAGGGAGAAAAAAAAAGAATTATCACCCCCCTTATATCCCCCCCCATCAATTCCAATTTGAGAACTAAACTTTACAAAAACGATGGCTCACATTGATCTCCGATAAACCTTAATGTCCAATTATAAAATTAGCGGAGAAGAAAATATTTTGCTGAGCTCTGGGATATAAACAAGCAGAATGTACACTGTTGAACAGCTGGAGAAGGTTTAGTGTAAACACAACTTTTTTAAAGATAAAAACACAACAATAAACATTTGTTATATTCTTAAATTGTGTATTTTTCAGATTTTGTGAAATTGGAATAAACTTACTATTTGTTCCTACACGATCTGTGGATGATAAACTTGAAAACCTTCAAGAAAAGATAAAATAATGTCTCAAAGATCCCGTGTAATAAATTTGTACAAGACTCTGTTATACTTGGGACGAGATTATCCACAAGGTTCTGATTTTTATCATTAATTAATTACTAAATTGTCTTCATTCTGTAAATATGGACAATTTTAAAACTTGCTTTAAGCCGATTAAGAAAACACCATATGTTTACTTTTACTATTAATTGAATATTTACAACTCGTATCGTAGAATGACTGAAAATCCTGAAAAACCATTTAAAATATTTCCAATTATTTATATTTGTTTGCTGATCCGATCCCTCTAAAAAGGTACATACCCGATTTACATCAGCACCCTTGAAACCTTCATCTGACTAATAACGTGGACAATTTTTCAAACTTGAAAGTGATCAATTCTGATAATTTCTCCGTAGTTTTTCTGCGGCAAAAACACACAAGTCACTTTTTTAGATTAATCACAATTGAAAATAATCAGTTTTTACAATCTTAAACATTAAAATCTAATTCATACTTGGATCAGTCAATAGGTTTATGGGGACTGTTCTGGATCAGACATAGCAGTCTATAAATGAAAATACGTATATAGACCCTTTAAGGCTTATCTTTTACTATTTAGGTTACGACTTCTTCCGAAGGAAGTGTCACGCTGCGTTCATGCGTAACAAGGATCTAAATGAGAAGGAGGCGGAGGAGTGGGTAAAGAAAGGAGATTACATCATCAAGGAGTTGGAATCACTGTATATGCTCAAGAAATACAGAACTATGAAGAGAAGATATTATCCAGATGATTAGAAGTCTGAAATGAAGTTCTGAAGTATATATTTATATTTTTATATAAATATTTACCTTGGATTAATGGCTGTGTAAGCTGTACATACAAAATATTATCTGTAGTCAAAATAAATTTTAGATATTATATTTATTTAGTTTCAGATGAGAAATGGAGAGTATTTATTTGAAATGTCCTGTGACTGCCCTGCTCGGGACGGATATCTCCGGAGATGAATGTATCCTGGTTGGACAAGGATCCTTTATCTCTCTACTCAAGCAAAACCAAACCTTGCTCAAGCTGAAAGTTTTCACCGCTTCTTATGTTCATGAGATACTTCGGTTCGGATCCGATATTCTTGTTCTAGGGGGGAAGAGCGTTTGCTTGCTCGAGGTTCAAGGCGGAAAGGTAATTATCAAGAGTTCGGAGGAAATATTTCAAGACTGGATTTGGGACGCACTTAAAATAAATAATAGATTCTTTTTCCTCACCGCTCATAACCGAGTTATCGCTACAGACGAGCAGTTAAATACTTTTCAAACTTATGGTTGTAAAGAGAAATGTATTTTGTATTCTGGACACTTGGAGTCATGGAACGGAGAAGTTTGTGTTCTGGCAGGTTCAGTTTTCTCTGAAGTTCTAATATGGACCCGGAGTTTAAAAGAGGATCAAGATAATTCTTCACATGAGTCACCAGTTCTACACAGGTAGGTGATATTTCATGTAGCAATATACCCCATATCCGTTCCTTCAGGCCAGTATTTTTTAATTTTGAGATTTGTTCTATCAAAAAAAAAGTTGTGAATGTAAAGATAACGCGTGTGAACATCAAATTTAAACCAAACCAGAATCACAAACTTCAAACTGTCATAACTTACTTAACTACAGTGCTAACAACCTCTGAAATGTCGATCTGAAATGTTAAAAAGAATTAGAAAATGTCCCAATATCCTTGATGCTGTAGTGACTTTAAAACTTGTTTTTAATCACTCTCTACTAGTGTGTACACCAAGTTTTGCTTTTAATCATTGTTTAAGTTTTGTTTTCTAGGTTATCCGGTCATGAAGGAGTTCTCTTTAGGAAACTGAAGTTTAAATCTTTATTTTTAAAATTTAATTTTGATTTGATTTTTGCCTGAAATGTCAAATTGTTGGAATTTGATTAAACTTGTTCAGTTTAGTATTAACATGTGCTCCGAAAAAGGATTGATTTGCTCCACTTCAGATGATCGATCTGCTCGGGTTTGGAAGGTTTCCTTTAGCTCCGGTAGATCCTGGGAGTCTGCTGAGGTTTATCAGCTCCATGTCCTATACGGCCACACGGCCAGAGTATTCAGGTTCAGTATTTTTTACAATTTTTGGCGTAAGAAATTTTAATTTAATTATTAAACATCCTTGAATAATATCTTTAGTTTACCTACCCAACTATCTGTACTTCCAGGTCCTGTATGACTGAGACAAGATTGATAACAGTTGGTGAGGATTCTAAGATTTGTCTTTGGAACTTGGAACATGGAACTCTAGGTATACATTGTAATCCGTGTATTCTCGAGATTAAGAGAAAAATATGCACTATAGAGACTAAAGCTTCTCAGAAGAATGTTTAAAAGTTCTGAGCGTAACAAATAATAAAAGTGTTTTTAAATGCTCTCATTTTTTTAAGTATGTCAGATGAATTATTTTTTTTCAACTCAGACTACATCACCCAAAACTGTTTCAGAGCGCAGTATCGAAGATTGCCACACCGGATCTCCAATCTGGTCTCTCTCCGTCCTAGGAGACAAAACTTTAATATCAGGAGGAGGAAACGGAGCAGCTTCATCCTGGGACCTGGAAACCTTGAACCAACCAACGGAACTTAACTGTGATATAAAACCCGGAGACTTTCCTAAACTTGTTAAATTCATTGGAGACAGAATTCTTGTTTTAACAAATGACGGACTTCTGATATCTGTGATAAACGAGATAGAATGGATCCGACCTTTCCCCATTCTCAAATCCTATGCAGTTATGGAGAATAACTCCGAGGAACACATTCTACTGGGAAGTCTCTCAGGTTCTGTTCATATCCTTCAACTCCGCCCAGAGATTAAGCCTATCTTGGAGGAAACTATAATCCAGGGAAAGATTTTTTCAGCCGCTTTGTTCTCGGATAGATTCCTTGTGAACGGATCAGAAGGTCGGTTAGTTCTCACCAGTTTTACTCCGGGTGGAACCTGGAGTAAAATATCTGAAGGTTCTTTACCCGACTCCAAGCAACGTTGGTTCTCTGTAGCAAGAGAGTGGATAACTTTTATAGTTCTTGGAGATAGGGTTGGGAGTTTACATATATATTCACATGATCTAGTCCTCCAACAAAGTTTCAAAAAGATTCATAATAGGAATGGAGTCACTGACATAAAAATATCTGGGTAAGCAAATACAAAATTATCTTAATATATGATTTATTCATTTAATCTTTTACTTTTTCAGGAATTCTTTCTTAAGCTGTGGTCGAGACGGAACTGTTAGAAGATTCCGTCTTGAAGGTTCTGAGGTTGAGCAACTATCTTGTATCAGGACAGGAGTAGACTGGTTGGCTAGACTAGCTCCTGGTCCCGGTATCACAGCAGTATCCTTCCATGGAACTAAACTTTTACTCCAGGATGTTGAGCAGAGCAAGCTTCTAAGCGAGGTAGAGTGTGGAGGAGGGCATAGATCCTGGGATATACTAGGGACGGAGAAACTAGTGTTTATCAAGGAAAAGAAGATATTTACACAAGTTTTCAACTTTCAAGGAGAACTGCCAACCTGCCCTGGTTCTCACACTCAGCAAATAAATACAATGTCTTCCTTCAGGTATTGGTGTAAAATATTTGTTGAGTTAGATTTTTTTAATTTTCAGAATATTTTAATGTTTATTAAATTATATTAATTTCCCAGGTTTTTAGAAGACCTATACTTGTGCACTGGCGGAGAAGATACCTTGATTAGGATTCATGCTGTACATCCCAACCTAGAGGATCTAGAACCAAGATTAGTTCTCAGGGGTCATGTTTCCAGTGTAAAGTGTATAAAACCATTAGATCTAAGAAACGGAACCGTCCTTCTCTTTACAGGGGGAGGAAGGGCTCAGTTGAAGATTTGGAGAATATTGAACCTGGACGGAGAACTGGTCGGTTCTGAGATAGCTGACTATATGCTCCGTGGATCTGACAAGGATATCAGGAGAGCCTGGAGAGAAGCTCAGAGCGAAGTTCGGCATGATCCTGAAACCAGATTCTTGAGTTTGGAAATTATTGAGGAGAAGAATGGAGTTTATATTTATGTTGGATGTTCAGATTCAATACTCAGGGTTTTTATTTACTCGAAGAACACGATTAGTTTACTCCAAGAAGGGAAGTTTCAAGATCATTGTATTCTACTGGTGAAACAGTTCTCTCTCAACAAGAATGGGTTCATCCTCTCCTGCACTACAGGTGGAAGTATCTATTCCTGGAGAAGGAAGAATATTTTATCCGAAGATTATCATGAGTTTAAACTCCACCAGTCCGGGATAAACAGCCTGGATATTCTGGAGAAAGATTCCCACTGTCTCTTCGTCACAGGAGGGGATGATAATGCCCTGGTCCTATCTCAGATACAAGAGATAGATAATAAAATATCACACTTTGTCCTGTGGAGAGAAGACAAAGCCCACGCCGCTCAAATCACCGGAGCTCACTTTTCAGGTGAAAACATATATTTTCTAAAGGAGAGGAAGGGGACGAAGTTTGGGAGGAAATACTAAATATTAGTGGTAAAAAAACTTGAGCCATTACTTTCTAACAGATTGAAGGAATTTTTTTTTGTATACTACTGCACATATAAAATCCAACAAAGTTATTTTTTAATGAAATTTCTTTAACATCTTTTTTTAGGATCGAATCTATACTCCGTATCTGTTGACCAACGAATAGGAATATGGAAGAGGGAGGAGAAGAGGGAAGAATATAAGTTGGTTAAACTAAAATCCACCAACATTGCAGATATTCAAGAAACCTTACTTATTCAAGCTCAGAACAGAAACCTACTCTGTACGGTGGGAATAGGTTTACAAATTTTTTCTACATAATTTTTTTCAGAATGTTTTCGGCATTTAAAAAATTGGCAAATAGAAGTGACACTCCTGGTTCTCAAAATGGGACTGGGACCAGTATTTCTCCGGGTGGGGTTCAAAGTATGGCACACAATCTCCAAAAGAAATTCTCCAAGGTAATGGAATTGAGTTTTTGCCACAAACTGAAATATTCTAATCCCTATATATTTGCAACCTTGTAATGTAAACTCAATTCCTTTTGGTTTGAGAAATTTTAACCCCTTATATAAGAATTTAGATATTACAATTTGATTTAATTATTTTAAGACTTTATTTTAAGTGCCTGTTAAAAAGATTATAATCTAATAATGATTTATTTTATTAGGGTTGCAACTATAATATGAAGATAGTAATACGAGGAGATAAGAATACTGGTAAATCTTGCCTTCTTACCAGACTTCAGGTGAGTCAACCAGACACCAGACAAAAGTTAAGAAGCTAAACCAGACAACGAAACCAGACCGGAAATAAAAATGAATATATTTAGGGTGGAGTATTTAAAGATAAGTATATTTTGGGCGGAGTATTTAAAGATGAATGTATTTAGGGCGGAGCTTTTACAGATGAATAAATTTAGGCGGAGTATCTAAAGTTGAATATATTTCAAGGCGGAGTATTTAAAGATGACCATATTTATAGCGGAGTATTTAAAAATGAAAATATTTAGGGTGGAGTATTTAAAGATGAATATATTTAGGGCGGAGTATATAAAGATGAATATATTTAGGGCGGAGTATTTAATATATTTAGGGCGGAGTATATAAAGATGAATATATTTAGGGCGGAGTATTTAAAGATGAATATATTTAGGGCGGAGTATATAAAGATGAATATTTTTAGGACGGAGTGTTTACAGATAAGTATATTTTGGGCGTTGTATTTAAAGATAAATATATGTAGGGCGGAGTATTTAAAGATGAATATTCTCCAACTGATGAAATCCAGGTTGCTTCAATAAACTGGAGTTACAAGAATACTGACGATATTGTTAAGGTAACACTTCAGTCAGGAATCAAACCCTCATACAGGATCAGACTTTAATGTCAATTTAAAACTCATAAAAAATTTGTTTTAATGTTAAATTTGATCTCTTACTTTGGATATAAAGAGTCTATTTAATGAATTGGTTGGTAACAAAAGATAAAGAGTGAAAAATTATCTTTAGGTTGAGGTTTGGGACGTTGTAGATGTAGCAAAGAAGAGGAAAAAGCTTACAGGGCTAAAAATGGGACCTGGAGCAGAATCAGAAACTTTTGAACCCGGTCTAGATGCACAGTTCCTAGATGTATATAAGCAGGCACACGGAGTAATTATCATCTTTGATATTACGAAACCCTGGACGTTTGACTACACGAAGAAGGAGTTAGATAACGTCCCGTCTAATATCCCGGTTCTCGTCCTAGCTAACTTTTGTGACGCTAGTCATCATAGACAAGTAACAAAGTTGCAGGTCGCAGATTTTATTGAAAACTTTCAGAGAAAAGGAACAGATCCTGCTCAGGTATAGTTCAACATTAAAAAAAAAGATTTTAATTGAATTTTATCTAATTGTAATTTATGCATCTCTAAAAATAAAAAATTTAAAAAATTTCCAAATTTATCAGTTCAAATTAAAAGCTATTTCAAATCTTCGGAAAAGGGAGGGCCGAGCACATTTTCAAATATTAGGCATACTTNTTAGATACACCCGGTACATTACATCCTTTTAGATACACCCGGTACATTACATCCTTTTAGATACACCCGGTACATTACATCCTTTTAGATACACCCGGTACATTACATCCTTTTAGATACACCCGGTACATTACATCCTTTTAGATACACCCGGTACATTACATCCTTTTAGATACACCCGGTACATTACATCCTTTTAGATACACCCGGTACATTACATCCTTTTAGATACACCCGGTACATTACTTCCTTTTACGAATGAAATTTAATTTATTTAGGTTCGGTGGGCGGAGTCTAGTTTAAGAAATGGTTTCGGATTGAAGTTTTTACATAAATTTTTCAATGTTCCTTTTCTAACCCTGCAGAGACAATCCTTGCAGCAGCAGTTGGAGCAGAACACGAGGGAGATCCAGGCAACACAGGTAAACATCATTATTATCATTATCTCCCTTATTATTATCTTTATTTTCATCATCTTCATCATCTTCATCATTATCATCATCTTCATCATCTTTATCATTATCATCTTCTTTAGCGTATTCTTAGGCAAAAGGCATACTCTTAAGGTGATATTGATTGTTAACATGTATTTCTACATCATCTCACCGATTTATACAAAACTTCAATAATTAAATATATGTATACATATACGAATGATAAACCAAAAAGAAGACTTCTTTAAAAAAACATTTAGGTCTTCAAAAATGTATTTCGGTATTTTTAAAACTTAATAATCATTTACTAGGAATTTTTACTTTCTAAGAACTAAGACATATAAATACTAGTATGATTGAAGAGTGAGATTAATACTATGCTATTATTTGTGTGAAATGCAGTATCACTAGTTCATGCGTCTTATTGTGAGCAATGGAATAGATTTAATTTGACTATATTTCAGTATAATCTGTATACTTGGGACATTTTAAGTTTACAATTTTGGTTTTCAAATAAGAAAACTCTAGAAGATTTCAACAAATATTTATAATATGAATTTGAAATAGCGATATTAACTAGAAGAAGAATTGAATTTTATAACACCTTGAGAAATTATTTTTTATATTTTGTTTTGATAAGGATGAGCTGGATCTGTACATGGAGTCGGATGATGCAGATTACGGAATGTTCTCTCAAGGATTAACAGTTCGGAGAAGATTGGCAGCTGAGGAGGTGGCTCCGTTAGCAACTAGATCTATAGGTAACACAAGGATGAAGGAGACCTTCCCCCTGTCAATCTTACAATCTCTCTTTAAACCTCAAGACCCCAAAAATACAACTTTAAACCCACCAAAGCTAACCTAATTCTTTTACAATTCTTTATATTTTCTCAGTTGTTGGGCAAGCTTCAAACCGAGTTGAAATCTCCGCTGAATCCTCGACAGATATCACCTATTCAAACCGATCCAATCCTACCACGGAGAAACCAAACAAACCCTCTCCTCAACCCTCCCCGGAGGTTCCAACCACCCTGAGAAAGGACATAAGTCCTGCTAAACCTGGTAAACTAGATGTTGAGAACTTTGTACCGGATACAGGAGACTTTGATACATTCCTGGAGGAGGAGAACTCTACATCCAACCAGGGGACGAACAGAGCAAACGGGAACCTGGATTCCAGGTTAGAAAAAAATGAATAGATAAAAATAAATCGTATTTAAATATTGATTTATTTCGCAAATATTTGTTCAAGTGTATCTAGTACGTAATGTATATTTATAAAGTTTTATGTTTTATATTGGCTAAATAATTCAAGGGTTCCGTACACTACACATTTTTTAGACTAAAACATAATGATGAGAAGGACTGATTTTTAATTTCTTTTCTTCATAAACTAACATACACAATTCTCATATTTTCAGTTGGCTAGTGTATTATTATTAATTGCCTAAAAAATTGAACTAGTGGTGTTTGTGAATTAAAAACAAAGCTTGCTTTTAACTTTATAATTTTACTTATTCAATCAATTCATATCCGGCTAAAAAGTGTGGGTAGGTGCAGGTTGGGACTAAATCTACTTTTTTGGATTAAAAAAACGTAAATCAGACATATCAAGTTTTTTCTCTAATTGCATATGATAAATAAAAACATAAAAACTTAGTAAAGGGTGACTTAAAGGAGGGAGGGAGGGACAGGGCACGGTGGCACCCCGCAAACACCGCTAAATAACGTCTGAGCCAGCTCCACATCGGAAGAAATTAAGTTTGTTCCTTTAATGGCATCTCTATTCTCTATTGCTGTCTTTTTTGGAAGGTTATTTAGCTGGAACCGGGCGCATAGTGATATGCGATTGAGAAATTAGTGTCCTAGTGTGTTTACCATCCTTACGATAGAATAATAGGTGTTAATTAACACCCCTCCAATGGAGAAATTAGTATTGCATTAAAAATGTTTAATGTCCGATTTGCCTCAATTATTGATTGGGAAACTAGTTAAAACCACGGGAATTTTCAAAGCTTGAGCAAATTTGAATCGGATGACGTTTATAGTGAAAGTTAACTTTTAAATCAGGGAAACGCTGGGTTCCCAAGCTAGTGCACAATAAATACATAAAATCCTGGGGCGTATGCAGGGTATTTCTTATAGATTAATCGGATATGTCGTGTTTAATATTCTCATTTTTAGTCGAGCAACTTCTGCTAAAATTTGTCGAAAATATATATTTTGTTAAGTGATGACGAGGGGGATGGAAACCCAATGGTTTCCAAGTTTGCTGAAGATGTAGATCTGGAGGAGTACCAACCCGTCCCAGACATAGAGATCGATCCAGTCCTAGTTCAGGAGGAGAATAAGCCCCGAGTGAAAGCAAAGAGTAAGAAGAAAGATGTGATTATCTCCGACCTTGAACCTAGCTCCGTGGAGGAGGTTAAGCTTGGAGAACTAGATCTGGATGATTTTCTCGGTGAGGTTGAAAGCAGTGTGGAGATATCTCACTCTACACATGATGGATATGATGAATTTTAACTTCTCTCAGTATTATGGTTTCGATAACCCAGTCAGGGGAACAAATTAAAAGCTTTATTTTTACATTTTAAATCTTCTTAATCTTCATAAATATTCTATATTTTCTGAAATGTAAAAGTTTATGAATTCCTTATATTTATTAAAATGTTGATCTATATATCTAGTTTATATGATGTAAATGTATTTTATTTAATTTCCATCAATGTACCATTGTACCATCTTTTTATTCCAACCCTTACATCTATGTACCATTTATGAATTTTATTGTGATATTTGTTTTGTTATCAAAGTTAAGTATACTTTCAGATGAAGTAATATGTTTTGCTAAACTGCAGTTCGGAGGTTGTATTGGAGCTGAAGGCTGAGGGTTGGGTGTATCCAGGTATCCAGGATGAAAATAAATGAGAAGACTCTGGTCAGCTATGCCTGTAATAAACTGCCTCCTGATATGGAGGGTTGGCTGTGGAAACGAGGAGAGGTAAATCTATCATTAATACTTTCTCCTTTGTGTTTCTCCAAAAAGCTGGAAAGGTATTAAAGAATTTATATTTCTGGTTCAGATAAAAAATTAAAGTTAAATTCCCAGATATTATTAACTTTTTCATGTTTAACCTGCCTTTAATCAGATTTTTCTCCTTTAATATTGTTAATATGTTGTATTATGTTTTTTCAAATATTGTCGTAATATTGTTATATATTGTATTTTTGGAAAATGTATGTTTTTATCCTTGGTTAAGGTGTTTCGTAACCAACGTAAAAACTTATCCTCAACACGGTTATGAAGAACGTAGAGACAAATAAGTTGGCAATCTATATTTATTCATCTCAAACAGGGGTTTTCATACTGAACAATACAGAACATTATAATTATCAATTTAAAGTAACAAAAATATAATTAATATATAATTATAAAATACAATTAGTATACCTATGACGCTGAGGGGATATAATCCTATAGTCTGAAAATATCGTCAATAAGTTTGTACTATGTGATGACAAAATGATGTTTATAAATAGAAACCAGTTCTAAAGTGTACTGCACTTTGGGGGCGATTTTAATAATTAACACAATAAATTTAATAATATTGACAAATCACATATCTATCCATAGATCCAAAAATATTCTTACATGTGTAAAAGTCTTTAATGGATTAGATGAAATTACTAAAGGGTTCAATACTTTTTTTTGTATAAATTGGCAGTGAGTTAGCATCCGCTATTCCAAACTCCGATACATATTTTTGTAGTTTTCTTGGAGATCCCTTTAACATAAATTTTATTTTTGCAAATATTACCACTCAAAAAGTTTATGAAATTCTGAACCTACTTCAAAGTAAAAATAGTTCAGGAACAGATAATATCTCAATTAAACTACTGAAAACAGTTATGCTTTTTATTATTGATTCAGTGGTTCATTTATTCAACCTTTCTTTACGCTTAGAATACATTCCAAACTCTTATAAATGTGCCAAGGTAAATCCTATTTACAAATTACAGTCTTCTTTCTTTCTTTTCTGAACTTTTAGAAAAAATTATCACTAAAGATATTTAGATATCTGAACAAGTAACAAGTTAGCCTACTCCCATCAGTATGGATTTAGACCTGGGCATGATATGGATTTAGACCCGGGCATGATATGGATTTAGACCTGGGCATGATATGGATTTAGACCTGGGCATGATAACGAACAGACAATTCTGCAAATTCTAGATAAAATATATTCTTGTCTAAATAAAACAAATATTCCTGAATACTTTATAGGAATATTTCTTGACCTAAAGAAAGCATTTGATACTGTTGAATACACTTTTCAAAAGTCACATGGAATTCGGAATAACATGTTGGGGTGCTTCTAAGAATAAAAAATATCATAAATATTAGGAATATTGAAAAAAAGGCTACAAGAGCAGTTTCAAATTCAAGCTTCAAAGCGCATACAATTCCACTTTTTGACAAACTAAATATTTTGAAACGGATATGATATCTTCAATTGAAAGGTTTAATTTTGATGTAAAAATACTTATAGTGACAATTAAAAAATACTTCAATGTCACTAGAAATAAAAAACTCTTGTTCTTTTAAACTGGTTAAAAAATAAATTTCTTGTGGAAAAAACATATATGTATCTGCGATTTGAATGTTCAAGATCAAACTGTTATTCATGTATTTCTAAATAAATAAAATAAATAAGTTCTGAGCTAGCTATTGACTATGGTTGAGCTACATACCCCCCCCCCTCTCTTCCTAATACCTCCAAAACACCTCCAATTGTATGATTTAAAAGTTACATCATACAATAACATCCGGGACTGCCATTAAATTCCCGTCATTAAGGTGTTTGTTTAAAAAAGTTATGTATGTAAATTATGTACTATAATATATCTATTTATCTTTCTTTCTATTTTTCTATCTATCTATCTATCTATCTATCTATCTATCTATTTACACAATTGCTTATTGAACAAACTGTATATTTCAATAAAAACGCTAGCAGTCTCCTTACCATATATGACGTAAGCTGTAATATATTAACTTTAATAATAGTTATGCCTAAATCTCGTAGATGCATGCAGAGTTTAATTCCACGGAAAAATCACTCTATGATAATGATAATAATATTTTAGGTGAATAAAGGGTTCCAGAAGAGGTGGTGTATGCTCCGGGGGAACTTACTCTTCTACTCAGAGAAAAAGGGGGATAAGGAACCCATTGGAGTAATCATCCTAGAGGGATGTACTGTAGAACTAGCAGAGGAGGAGACGGAACATTATGCTTTCAAGGTGGGTTCAATTATTTTACTACAACAGTGGCCTATTCAAGAGGGGTCATGATTCCGTCTGTTCCTTATTATTTTATTTATTGAGTTATAATTGAAGAAAAACTTTATAAGGAGAAAGTTGCCAGGATTAATACTCCCCCTCACAACACTTTATATTTCATATTTTATTCAACTACAAAGCACGAGATAATACAAATAAAAAATCACAATTTACTATGTAGTTTGGACCCGCCTAACCAGAGTAGGTTGATATGGTTGATGTCGAAAAAATTGAAAGGTTTATGATTCATGCCCTTTATCTTCATAGTGAAAGGGTTTATGGGCACTATACCAGTGTAAAGTGTTTAGTTGAATGTACAGTGTACAGTTAAATGTACAGTGGACAGTTAAATGTACAGTGTAATGTACAGTGTACAGTTAAATGTACAGTGTTCATTGTAATGTACACTGTACATTCCTAGTGTACAGTGTACAGTGAAATTACAGTGTACAGTGTAATGTACAGTGTACATTGTAATGTACACTGTACAATATAATTTACAGTGTACAGTAATACTCATTTCATATTTTGTAGTTGGTATTCCACACAGAAGGAAGAACAGGGAGAACATATATCCTGGGAGCCTCATCTCAACCTGATCTAGAGAAATGGATGAAGCTCCTGGCCTGCGCCAGCTACGACTTCATGAAGCTGATGGTGGTTGAGCTTCAGCATCAGATTACTGAGATAGAATCAGGTGGAAGCAGTAAGGCGGAGGGTTCTGGTGTCGGCGGAGAACCCCGTCCTCCGCCTCGAACCCGGCACAATCCCTTTAATACAGGGAAAGAAAAACATAAATATACATGGTTGGACTGGCATACTGGATACGGGGAGAGGATTCTCCAGGATAGAGAGGAATGGTTGGAACAGCGTAGGAGGACGGAGCAGGAGAGATCTCATCAGATTGAGATGTCCGGAGATAATTTATTGATAGTTCTTTAACCTGGAGCTCAAACCTAGTTCTAACCAAGATATTACAAGATACTTACTTTGCTGAGACGGATCTATATTTGGTCATGTCCGGTATTTGCTCCTTTGTTTATTTTACATATTTGCTCCTTTGTTTATTTTACATTGTATCTCTTAAAGAACAGGTTCCATATTTGTATTGACCAACCAGCAACCTTTTCTACATTTTTAGTTCCTGCATTATTGTTAACCTTTGTGTGACCTACGCTTGTTTTTACCTTTCTTTTTGTTTAATAGAAAGATGGTTTTTTGTGTCATTTTTCCATATATGCAAATCGTATGTACATTGTACAATTTACAATTAAACATTTCCTGAAAAAATAATTTTCTAGATTTAAAATATCATTTTAGTTTTGTTACACACGACCCCCTTTTCGAACTGTTCAAGTATAAATTTACTATAATTTAAACATGGGGAGTGGTAATCTATTAAAACCATTTCCTAGTTCTCAAGATGAACTTCCGGCTTAAAGTGTCATTATTTTAAGAGTTCTGTTCAAATTTTTGCATAAAGAATTTTTTGAGAAAAAAAGACAAATTTTTCAGTTAAACTATAAATGATTTTTATACTTAGATACAAATTTTTTTGCTCAATTTGGGAATATTAGTTTTCTTCAGAACAAGGACGTTGCTGAAAAACTGTAACATGACCCCGTTTTAATTTTAAATTTTAATTTGTTTGATCCTAAATAATCTTCATTTCAACAGTGATGTACAACGTACACTCAGTGTTATATATTTATCACTTGCGGGGAAACAACGATAACTTCGAACAGTACAATTTCTGTCACTCGAGGCCAAGCCAGTACATTAAATGGGTTCCCATTAAGTGAACATGAATCAAAGGTTAGAAATTCGAGGTAATTTGTTCTCTTAGAATTAATTAAAGCTGTAAAGGATACGTTGTAATGGATCCGGATCCTGTATTTGTCCAACTAAAACATATTATCCTTACAAACATAGTCTACTGCAGATTCTGTATGAATGTTTTCAAACTCTGTTCAATTTAGGCTGGGGTTCCTCCCAGAAACTGCAGTACACTTCGTTCTTAATCAAAGATCCATAGGTTCCCGGTTTATCATCCTTAATTAATGTTTTTATCTATCCTTAAAACAAGAAGCTTATTTTAAACCGGATCGGGATCAAAACATCCGGATTCTTTAAGCAATGTTTGTTTACAAAATGTTGTTCAAAATGTTTTTTAAATTGAGAAATATTAAATTCATTAATTGACTCATAAGAAGAATACATATTGAACACTTGTTCATACCCTCCTATAATATGGAAACAGTCAATATTAGAGGGCCAAGGTTTTATTATCATTACACAACATTCCAAGGAAGGGGGGGGGGAGGCACGATGACAACCATTACCCGACAGGTCATTTTTCTATACTGAAAAGTTTGAAACCTTGGTAGAATAACCTTAGTTCCTTTTTCGCACCATTTCCTATTCTAGTTGGGCCAATTAAAGGAATTCTATTAATTTGGGCATTTAATTTAAAATTTATGGGAGAAAACAATTTATATTTAGAAAATATTGTAAAAGTCCTAGATGGATAGTGTTGAATCACTGAAAACATTTTGTAAGATGAATCATTTAACTTTTCGTGATATTTATTTATTGTGATTTTAGTGTAATTATTAATTAATTTTATTCAGTTTTAAATATGTCATGTCTACAAAATGTAGTGTGTACTTTGGGTTTTATGTTTAGTTTTTATTCTTGTTTTTCAGAAATAATGTTGAAGGATTCCAGGGACTGATGGTTGGTTAAGAACCAACTATTAGAGTAGATTGAATAGGTGATCTTTCATCATCATTGTTTCATGTCAATTCATATCAATTTTGATATTTATTTTATTATATTCTGCTTTGTGGTTAGATCTACAAAAATATTGTTAAAATAATGTTTATTTTGACCAGGTCTAGTCAGAAACTGGATTAAACCTCTTTGTATATTCTTCCTGTGGTTTCAAGATAAGTCTGGGAAACATCTGATAAAATGGCTAATCCAGGGAGCAGTAGTAGATACGGAGCAACCAACCTTGTCAGCAGGTAGTAACCAATCTTGTCAGCAGATAGTAACCAACCTTGTCAGCAGATAGTAACCAACCTTGTCAGCCGGTAGTAACCAACCTTGTCAGCAGATAGTAACCAACCTTGTCAGCAGGTAGTAACCAACCTTGTCAGCAGATAGTGACAAACCTTGTAAGCAGATAGTAACCAACCTAGTGAGCAGGTAGTAACCAACCTTGTCAGCAGATAGTAACCAACCTTGTCAGCAGATAGTAACCAACCTTGTCAGCAGGTAGTAACCAACCTTGTCAGCAGATAGTAACCAACCTTGTCAGAAGGTAGTAACCAACCTTGTCAGCAGATAGTAACCAACCTTGTCAGCAGGTAGTAACCAACCTTGTCAGCAGATAGTAACCAACGTTGTCAGCAGATAGTAACCAACCTTGTCAGCCGGTAGTAACCAACCTTGTCAGCACATAGTAACCAACCTTGTCAGCAGGTAGTAACCAACCTTGTCAGCACATAGTAACCAACCTTGTCAGCAGATAGTAACCATTCTTGTCAGCAGGTAGTAACCAACCTAGTCAGCAGGTAGTAACCAAGCATGTCAGCAGATAGTAATCAACCTAGTCAGCAGGTAGTAACCAACCTAGTCAGGAGATAGTAACCAACCTTGTCAGCAGGTAGTAACCAACCTTGTCAGCAGATAGTAACCAACCTGGTCAGCAGGTAGTAACCAACCTTGTCAGCAGGTAGTAATCAACCTAGTCAGCAGATAGTAACCAACCTAGTCAGCAGGTAGTAATCAACCTAGTCAGCAGATAGTAACCAACCTTGTCAGCAGGTAGTAACCAACCTAGTCAGCAGGTAGTAATCAACCTAGTCAGCAGATAGTAACCAACCTTGTCAGCAGATAGTAACCAACCTTGTCAGCAGATAGTAACCAACCTTATCAGCAGATAGTAATTAACCTAGTCAGAGGTAGTAATCAACCTAATCTGCAGGTAGTAACCAACCTTGTCAGCAGATAGTAACCAACCTTATCAGCAGATAGTAACCAACCTAGTCAGCAGGTAGTAATAAACCTAGTCTGCAGGTAGTAACCAACCTTGTCAGCAGGTAGTAACCAACCTTGTCAGAAGGCAGTAAACAACATTGTCAGCAGGCAGCACCCAACCTTGTCAGCAGGTAGTACCCAACCATGTCATCAGATAGCAACCAACCTAGTCAGTAGAAAGGGGGCAACTTTTTATTTAGATTGACAGATTATGTTAACAGAGGTTGGAACTTATGTTTTAGAATACGCGAAGCCACAACGATTAATCTCAATATATCCTCTTTGGAAACTCTTTTTTTTTAATTTGATTTAATTTGCAAAAACAGCTGTCTCATAATCTCGCGCTCTATTATCGAGAAATGAGATCCCGATGAGATTAATTACATCCGTCCGCCGTTTAAAATTTACGGATTAGATATTTCTAAAGGGATTTACATTAAGTTGTAACCTCAAATTAATCATTTCTATTTATTAATATCTATTTATTAATATAATTGTTTGTTTAAGGTTGTTAACAAGAAATAGTTCTGAAGACATGGCTCAGCTTGTTCAAGGACAGCGAACCCTTTTCAGGTCTCTCGACTTTATCATTCTGTTTAGTTCTAATTGTTTGTTTTTAATCATTTTTACTGCAATGTTTGTTCGTGTGTGTGTGTGTTCAGTGTTTAGGATCCGTTAGATCCGCAACATTTTGGATCCATGGATTCACGGGGCAAAATACAATTCCAAACCTGTTAAAAATGTACACAAATTTCAACTGTTTACTAATGAGCGATTATTTAAACTTCATAATCTCCGAATGTTTTAGCTTAAGAATGAGCGAAAACAAAAGAAAAAATGAAAACTTTTTATCTGTTCAAAAGATCAGTTTAGAGGAAATGTCCAATGTTCATGACCCGGATCCGGTTTTAGATCCAGATCCATTTTTACAGGGGGAATCCAGGACTGGATTCGCATCAAAATTAAATGGATCCTAGTTTTCGTCTTTACATTCAAGACAGAAAATTTGGAAATAAATTTCTAGATCGTTGAGTGGAGCTCCTGACAGAACCAACCTACTCCAGGATTCAACAGAAGAGGATGGAAGAACTCTGGGAACTCTCAAGGGAGTGTTTGCTCCTGTCTCACTATCCATGTTCTCCGCTCTACTATTTCTCCGTATGGGATATATAGTAGGGAATGCTGGGTTCTTGGAGACAGTTCTCCAGTTCTTGATTGCTTATACAATCCTAGTTTCTACAGTATTCTCAATCTGTGCTATTGCAACCAATGGAGCTGTCAAGGTAATACAAATATTGTCTCTAATGATTTAATAAAACTAAAACAAAAATTCTGATTACGCAGAATGATTTTTTACTCTGATACGAATATGAATCCCATTTATAATGTGTATAACTCTACACACTTATACATTGATAAACAATTAATGAATTATTATTGCACCAATGGTCTTATATGAGACTTCTAATGTCTATTTTACTCGACAAGTAATCCATTGATAACCTTTGATTTAGTTTTAAGCATTTTTGCCTATATTGTTCTTGTTTTTATTGTTTTTAAGCTTATGTTAATTATGTTAAAAGTAATATTGTAGTAATTTTCGCAACTAAAGAATTGAGCTCTTCCCACAAACTCTGATTTTTAATCCCTATATTTTGCAACCCATTGGCGTAGATTTTTGAAATATAAATAGGAATTCAGAGTTGGCAACTTTTGAATGGTGGATATCAGGATTAATGCTTGATCTGCCCTTTTTCTTAATCTCGAGATTAAAAAATACTTGTTCTCCTCTTGTTATTAATCTCCAGATTAATTACACGATCGGGATTAAGGATATCCGATTCTAAAGTTTTCAGCTCTGTTAGATCAAACAGTCTAATTTTAAAATACCGATGGTTTCACCTTTAGGTTTCAAAAATATAGAGATTTGTAACTCTCCGTTTACTTAACTGTATTCTAGGGAGGAGGTGTATACTTTATGCTGTCTCGAACTATGGGACCTGAGTTCGGAGGTTCTATCGGAATTCTTTTCTACTTTGCTAATGTTGTGAGCAGTGCTTTGTATGTAACTGCATGTGTGGAGGGGATTACAAAAAACTTTGGTCCTGAAGGAGCTTTTATGGAGGTACTTTAATTTATTTTCATGTCTTGGGAATTTTTATTCTATCGATTTTTTTGTAAGAAAAACTATTGTGAACTTTTAATGAACAGGAGGAGCAGAAATGCAGAAATTGTTTTTGATAAGTTTTTTTATTGGTCAAGGTTTGGGAGATTTAACCAATGAAAGATGAGGAATCTATAAGCTCAACCAATGAGAGATCTAGTTACTTCTTACTTAATTTAATGGCTGCAAAACAATGTGGTTCATAAACGCAGACGTCTGGTCCTTGATCTTCATATATAAAACAAACTTGTTGTTCAGTGTTCAATATGTAATTTCTGGTCTATGATTTATTTAATAAATATTAAGGCCAGCTTTAAATATATTTTGGTTTCTGGAATTTTTCAGTTTGTCAGCTGAAATATTTCTTTATTTGCAAATATGATAAACGTAAGTTAAACTCAAAAATTCAGAAGTTTCGGAAAAGGTCAAGAAATTAAGCTAATTACGTTGCGAAGTTTCAATTACAGCTTTAATTTATTGCATTGCAGTTGATAAGCAATAATAATTTAATTAAGGAAATTTTGCTTTACCTTAGGTTCCCAAGACCAATTTTGGTCTAAGGAACCCGTGGTTAAGTAAAATTTCCTTAACTTCCCGAATTTATCGTCTTTAAAGATGAAAATGGGCAAATTTTGTTCAGAAAAACTTCTCATGGCGGAAGGTTATTTTACTTAATTGCTGGAAAATCATTGGTCGGTAATCTTGATGTACAGGCGGTGAAAATATTTCTTTTTTATCATGGTTTGTCTAGAACTTGTTTTGTGTCGTAAAAAAAAATAATTTTGTTGTTTAAGTTGCTTCCTGATGGAAAATGGTGGAATATACTCTACTCGTCTTCCTTCAATATTTTCAACTTTCTCCTCTGTTTGGTCGGAGCAGAACTATTTGGGAAGACGAGCATTATTATTCTGGCAATTGTAAGTATTTCTTTATATCATTCTCTGTTAAAAAATAGATCTTTTTGTGAGAATTGTTACTTTTTAATTTAGTAATTTACTAACTGAAGTGCCTGCAGCGATGCCCGTTGAAGTTTTCGATTATTATTAGCCTATGTTACCCCAGGGTACCCATGGGTTCCCTAAAAAAAATTCAGCAAATTTGGTCCAGTCGGCTGGCCATATATAGCTAACATCTTTATATAAGAGAAGAGCTTTATTATATAGATTATTCTTCAATCTAATTTTTTTATAATTTTTTATATAATCATGAATCTATACTATCTATTTATGCAACTGTCTTGTTTTATTATGCGGGACAATATGCTTTTTTGGCCGGGATTTTTACTTTTTACCTTGTAAGGTTTAAATTCAAGAAAGCAAACAAGTAAGTAAAAATCACAACAAAAACATAATTTCCCAAATGATAGCACAAAACAGTTGAATATATAAATTTATTCAATTCAAGTTTCATACAAATTTGCGATTTTTTTTAATTCCGCGAAATAAAAAGGAAAACCTGCTTTGCCGGTATTTAATGTTACTTTTGATTTAGTTGATGAATCAAGCATTTATCCTATAATTTAAAAGTAACGACATTAGATATCGAGATAAGCGTTCAAGATATGAACGATACTCCAGATTAAAAGTAATGAAATCTTATTTTTTATATAGGTTGCGAGGATCAAAGACGATCGTTATGTCTCTTAATTATCATCTTTGGTATTGTTAAAACTTATTGAAATTATGATATTTGTTACAGGTTACTTTATGTTGTACAGGGGTAATATCCTCATTCTTTCTGGATAATTATGTTTCTACGGAGTACAATGTAACTATCTCCAACGGAACGGCCAACTGGACGGAGATAGTTAACGGAACCTTTTCCGGGTTGAGCTGGAACTCTCTGGAGGGTATAACTGAGCTGTGGTATCAGAACCTGTATCCAACCTATATCCAGGACTGTGAAGACTCCAGTGCTAAAGTCAGTTTCTTCACTGTCTTCGGAGTTCTATTCTCTGGAACCACAGGTCAACATTTAACAACGTATATAAAATATCAAGACCAAGATCAAAGAATTATCAAATCATCAATTTTACATATTTTGATAAGATGATATTTTTGGACAAGGGTTGAAGTATTCTATAAAACGTTGTATTATTCTTTATAAAAAGAAATGGGATAAATTCTATAGGGTAGTAGAAATGTTTACGATGTCGGCTATCCACATCATAAATTCACAAATCATGATTCCCTCTTAGATATTCTCAAAAATGTTTATTTATATAGGTATAATGGCCGGAGCTAATTTATCCGGAGAATTAAAGAACCCTGGTAAATCTATACCTCGGGGAACACTCTCAGGCTGTGCCTTCACCTTCGTCACATTTATTATTCTCTCCGTCCTAACCTCCCTCACATGCAACCCTGTCTTACTACACCAGGTATACAGGGATAAAGTACAATGAATACCAAAATCTAAAAACGCCCTAAGAGCTACAATGAATACCAAAATCTAAAAACTACCTAAAACTACAATGAATACCAAAATCTAAAAACGACCTAAAACTACAATGAATACCAAAATCTAAAAACGCCCTAAGAGCTACAGTGAATACCAAAATTTTAAAAATGACCTAAAGCTACAATGAATACCAAAATTAAAATCGACCTAAAACTACAATGAATACCAAAATTTAAAATCGACCTAAAACTACAATGAATACCAAAATCTAAAAACGACCTAAAACTACAATGAATACCAAAATCTAAAAACGACCTAAACTACAATGAATACCAAAATCTAAAAACGACCTGAAGTTACAATGAATACCAAAATCTGAGGGTTACATTCGATCTTGTGCGTTAAATGTAATCTTCTTAAAGAAAATTAACAATTAATTATATAATTAAAATGAGTTATAGCTGGAAAGAATCATGAATGATAGAAAAAGACAGAATAAGATCTGTACAGTCGTCTCTAATGTCTTATTCTTTGTGGGTAGCCCTGTAACCTCATTTTTCATATTCAGTAAATGAAATTATTTAAAGAGATATGTTTAATTGTCTTTTTGTCCAGATTCAATCAATATTACAGTGATCCAAAGGCTGCAAGCTCTTCCGTAAACATAGTTTTGCTTCTTATTAAACTTAAAGTACTTTGTATTTCTAAATTTAACATTTACGAATAAAAATATAATTCAGTTAGTGAGATAAAATCAAAGGCCAAGGCGTTGCGATACTTAAAAGTCGGCCCAGTCTTAAAAAGTGATGCAACTTTTCATAGCAGTCTGGATCTTTGTGATATGTAATACAGTAAAGTATTGTTGACTCCATTGTAATATAATGTATTGTCGACTCCATTGTAATATTATGTATTGTCGACTCCATTGTAGTATTATATATTGTCGACTCCATTATAATATTATGAATTCAGGATTGTATGTACATGGTACATTTTACTTTCTGGAAATGGTTGGTTCTCATCGGAGTAATATTCGCTACCTGGTCTGCATCCTTGAGCAACCTGATCGGAGCCAGCAGGGTTCTCCAGGCAGTAGCAGAGGATACAATGTTTGGTCCGTTCCTTCATTTTATACTCAAGGGGAAGATTAGTAACAATCCAATTGTATCCGTCCTAACAACATCGCTCCTGGTTCAGGTAGCAGTCAAACAATTCTATCTCTTAATCTTTCTAAAATGCAACCTACGGAATTTTAACAAATATCATACCACAACAAATATGAGCTTTTACAATTTACGCGAGTTTTTTTAAAATTTATGTTTAATTACGTTTTTGTTTTATTGTTTTTATTCAGTTATTGAATGATTGTCAGCGAAATACCATTCAAGAGTTGAAATAATAAGGTTTAATTTATATTTCAGATTTGTTTCTTCCTTGGTGGTTTGAACCAAATTGCGCAGCTCTGCTCTGTTTTATTTCTTCTCTCCTATGCTAGTGTGAACCTGGCTTGCCTGGGTCTGGTTCTCTCCTCTGCTCCGAACTTCAGGTACGTGCAGCGTGGGCTCAGTTTTCGTGCATTTTTTCTTTTACAAAAATCTGTCGCATTTTTTATATTAAACGATTTTATTTTTATTTTAGACCTGCGTTTAAATATTTCTCTTGGCACACCAGCCTGGTTGGATTAATTGGAACATCTATCATGATGTTCTTAATTTCACCATTGTTTGCTGCAATCGCGATCCTGCTCTGCCTATCCCTCATCCTTGCCTTGAACTTCCTCTCCCCCGCCAGGAACTCTAACTGGGGTTCCATCAGTCAAGCTCTTATATTTCATCAGGTTGGAATTGTAAACTGTTGAGTCGACTGTAGAAGTTATTTTAAATGAACCTCTATTTTAAATGTTACATGCCCTCTTGGAAAGGATATAACTCTTTAAACGTTTATCCAAGTAACATAAGGCGGATTTAAACGTTTATCTAAGTAACATGAGGCGGATTTAAACGTTTATCTAAGTAACAATAAGGCGGATATTGTCGTTTTTTTTATCTTGTAGAGATACATTTTGTCAATCACTTTCTTGGTGTCTGCTGCATAAATCTCCAAGTCACTTTTAAAGTACAATCCGTAATTGAGACTGTCAATTTTTAAGACAGAAAAACAAAGATATCCGTTAGTTATGTAATGGTGAGAATCGGTGATGTTACTCTTCTCACATAAGGGATGAATCGAAATAATTTTAACAGTTTTGTTAATGTTAAACTATATCCTCTTAGGTTCGGAAGTATCTTCTCCTGCTGGATCCTCGTAAATCCCATGTCAAGTTCTGGAGACCTCAGATCCTTCTCCTGGTTCATAATCCCCGGTCTACCTGCGCACTCATAGATTTCGTCAATGCAATGAAGAAGGGAGGATTGTATGTATTGGGTCACGTGACCTCAGGAGACCTTGCAGCAGTTGAAGAGGATCCTATTACTAAGGTAGGTTGGGAGAGTAGAGTATGTTCACAGTTCAGGTAGGACAAAATATTCAAATCAAATAGGACTAATGTAACACCGTGAGGACGATAGTAGGACGGGTTTAATCTGGGTCGATAGATCATTTTAATAAGTAGGACGAATTACTGAACGAGTATACTCAAGTAGGACAGAATATATCTACTCATATATTACGGAGTAGGATCAATTAGTATGAAATATATTTCAGTATAAGCATAACACTTAATTCCAACGATCTAAGTGTTATTTTATTATTTTAATTTCATTTTCATTATAATAAAGTCCCAAACACGAATTACGCGAAAATCTAAGATTTAGCCTAATTTGTTTCGTCAAAATTTTTTCCTAACATTTTTATTTAACATTAAATGTTTTAGGAATATCCAGATTGGTTGGGACTAGTTGATCATCTCAAGGTTTGTAACTTTTACAACAACAACAAATAGTTTTGTCCAAATTCGTATTTTTATTACTTTTTGTCTTTCCAGGTGAAAGCCTTTGTGGAGGTAACGATGGCCTCCAGTGTGAGGAACGGAATAGAACAATTAATCCGTGTATCAGGGATCGGAGCAATGAAACCTAACACTATTCTTCTAGGTAGGTCAGGCTCATCTAGCTTAACCTAGAGATTGATTATAACATAATTTTACTTAAATATTTGTATATTCTATGTTTGATTAAATTATTATTAAAAACACAGATTATTTTTCCATTTTATAGCTGAACAATTTCTTTCTTATTAAGACGCTTCTAATTGAAATATTTCTCTACATCTATATATACATTATATATACTTTGCTTGTCTGTCTGTTTGTATCCAATAAACGTCAAAACGTCTAAACCGATTGGTCCCACATTTTTTGTGGCAACGCACTTGACCCAGGGAAGGTTTTTAGATTATTAAAAGATGAACAAATTTTCTCTTAGAATAATGTTGGCATTTATTATTTTTGAAAATGTAAACAAGTCTGCAAAGTACAATTAAAAAAATGGCAACTTGAAGAGCAACAGTTAAATTTGTTACTAGAAAATGGAAGCCTAGTCTCATTAGTATTTTATGTTGGAGTCAATTTAAATGATCCAAGATGAGTCATTTTTTAAACCTCCCCCCCCCCCCCCGCGAAACTGGAAACATATTTTCCAAATCCTAAAAGTTTCTGATAGTTTCCTCTGCTTATTTATCACTCTAAGGATTTCCTTTTATTCCTAAAACTTATTTAATCTGTTTCAGGGTTTAGAGATGACAGTGTTCATTCGGACGATCTGATCAGTTCCACTTCTCCGTACTGTGATCCAACCTTTCACGATGCTTTTCCGTCCATAGACCAGAACTACAACAAGTGGGGAAATTATTTAAATTTTTTTTAAGATTTCCTCTAGTTTATTTTTTAATGCTTTTTTAACAATTTTTTAAAATCCTTTGAAGAGTATGTACGATTGTATCCAGGATATAAACTCTTGTATATCTAGGATATATTGTGAAGAGTATGTACGATTGTATCCAGGATATAAACTTTAAGATATCTAGGATATATTGTGAAGAGTATGTAGGATGTATCTAGGATTTATACTCTAGTATATCTAGGATAGTATATCTAGGATATCCTGTGAAGAGTATGTAGGATATATCCAAGATATAAACTCTAGTCTTTCTAGGATATATCCAGGATATAAACTCCAATATATCTAAGGTATCCTGTAAATAGAATGTAGGATGTATTCAAGATATAAACTCTAATATATCTAAGGTATCCTGTAAATAGTATGTAGGATATATCCAAGATATAAACTCTAATATATCTAAGGTATCCTGTAAATAGTATGTAGGATATATCCAAGATATAAACTCTAATCTAGGATATCCTGTGAAGAGTATGTAGGATGTATCCAGGATACCTTGAAACTACAGAAAAATATAGGTTTGTGTAGAAACTTCCAACTCTTGGACAGAAATGAAGTTTTCAGGTAAACCAAATTTACTCAACTTGTAAAAACATTATTCTGATCAATCATAATCTCTCCCGAGCTGAAAACTTTAGAATTGTCGATATCAAGATCGATAATTAATCTCCTCTTTTTATTCATCTGCAGTCGAATTTAGTATTACATTAATAATTTAGAAAAGTGTCTAAAGTACAACCAATCAGAATTCTGATTGCAGAAACCGAACAGCTAATCAAAAGCCGAGTAATTTTGCGCGCAAAAATGAGAGAACTCTCATTGATCGTAACTTAGCTTAGATATTCTAAAGAGAGGTTTAAGCAGAAAATCAAAAGTTTTCAAAGTGGATATCGAGATTAAGGTATCGGGATTAAGGGTATCCAAAACAGTTTTCAGCTCCGGAGTAATTATTTTGAATTGAAACTTTCCAATAATTATGTGATGAACCTAATAAAAATAAAAATTAATCTTGGATTGATTCTACAGGAGATCGTAATAAACATGGGAGTTGTGTAAAGATTCAAAATCGTTCTTTAACTACGCGGCATTTTTTCTTAACCCGAAAAGTATCCAGAAATTTAAAATTCGGATCTTGTTTCTTATGTTTCTTATTCCTTGCTTGGTTTGTACTTTGATTTTGCCAGATATATTAGGAATATTTCGCGTACATTTTTTATTACTATAAAGACTTCTGGAAGTTGAGAGTTCTTCTCAATTTTTCTATTCTTTTTTATAAAGAAAAAAAATCCTTTTTTAATGTCTAATATAAAAAAATGTCCATTCAATTCAATTGTGACTCACTGTAAAAAAATTTCAAAACGATTATTTATTTTCATATTTTCTATTTTTCAACCAGCTTATTTTACTTATGAGAAAACCTAAATTATTATGCATAATTTTTTATTTTAAATCTTTTTATATTTTCTATATTTTTAGTTCCGAGTTAAAGTACCGTATACGGGCTGGAAGAAAACGTTACCTGGATGTTTGGCCGGTCAACTTCCTGAGCGGAGAGGATACAGATATTACAGATAACACATCACTCTTCCTCTTCCAACTAGCCTGTATTGTTAATATGGTGAGTACTTAGTAATAAGTAAAAATCCACTAAAAGTGTAGGTTAGCCACTTATACAGTACATAATCTATAATCATATCTTCCAAACAAACTAAATTTGGAAAAATATGAAAATGATTTTAAATTTCTTTGTAAGATGATGCTTTATCTTATTTAATGATTAGTTTTTAGTCTATTAGACCAGATAGAAAATATAAATCAAGGCTGGAAGATCATTTTTCAAGAAAATCATTTTCCATTAAATTACCTTTCATCCAATACTTTTTCATTAAATTATTTTCCTTACACCCTTACATTAACCTTTATCTAAGTAACAATAAGGAAAATACCGTGTTTTTTTCTCAAAAAGTGTTAAATTCGGTTAATTTCTTCCATGTCTCTAAAAATCAAAAGTGCAAGTCAATTTTATACAGCACTCGCAATGGAAAGTAATAAATTTGTAGCTAGACAAATAGGATATTTTGTTCATCCTTGATCAGACAAAGGTTTAAAGTGTAAATCAGAAATGTCCCTATTTCTAGGTTCCAAAGTGGAGAAAGCATCAGCTTCGTGTATTTATGTGTGTCAGGGCCGCAGATTCTGATATTGCAGGTTGAAATCTAGGCTTTTATTTTTTTATTTTAGTCTCTTTTATTATCGCTTCTTTTAGCATAGTCTATAGTACAGGGTTATCCACAAAGGATGAGACTGTAAAGACGACCTAAAACTCTTTAAATCAAATGATTTCAAGGTTAAATTAAGTTTTCTACCTTGAATACAATCTTATTATGGCTTATATACTTATTATGAAAAGAAAAAAAAACAAGTTTAAAGTTGCAGGGAATCATTAATATAAGGAAACAGATAGCATCAATTCTGTACAGTTGTCTCTGAAGTCTCATCCTTTGTGGGTAACCCTTTAGCTCTTGAATACTAAGGTACTAATGCAAGGAAAGTTAATTGCGGTTGCGTATACTCTGCGTACATATTGAAACCAGTTCTCTCTGGGCGGTATTTGTAAACAAGAATAGATGCATCAGTGTTCGTTTAGTATCCGAGGAGGTAAAACGCATTAAATTTTGATAATTTTGAAAATTCGCATAATAGTTTCCAATGACCAGAATATTTCATAGATTATTATTGTAAAAATGGATCCCATGTCAAGCAGTGACATCCGTCTCGTGTTTACTTTTCCGCCCAAAGACAGTACTCTACAGTACAAAAAATGCGTACACCTCTGAAATAACGTTCCTTTCATTGGTACCTTGCATCCTTTGTGGGTAACCCTTTAGCTCTTGAATACTTTGTTCCTTTTAGGCTTGGTATTTACATCTAGTACTTAGTGACATAGCTTATAGTAATTTAGTCCCTACTGACTCTATCTCTTATTCGTGTAAAGTCGCCAAACTCCTTTTAATTTAGTCTTTGATTAGTTTTTAAATTCTAAGCTATGTATCATTAATGTTTTTGAAAAGTATCTTAAATTCTTAGTAAAATGAATTTAGTTTGCAAAGGATTATTCTAGTTTTTGAAAGAAAAATAGTTGAACATATCCTAAATCATTAAACCCTCTTGTATAGATAATACAGGTTGTATGTATGAACTATTATTGTTTACAAGAATGGAAGCCATTTTTATTGTTTACATTGCTAACAATATTCAAATAAACCTGACAAAAGAATGAATAAATATAATACATTTTTATAGAATAAAAAAATAAAATCATTTTATCTGAAATTTCTCTTCCTGCAAATAAGATTGAAAACCAGTGTTTAAGCTTAAGACGAGTTGAGCTTTAAATAACAAATAAAAAATCTTGCATGAAAATGTCCAAACAATAAAAAATCTTTAAATCGTTGAAATTCCCGTTTAAAAAATCCGAATCAAATAAAAAATATTCCCATTTCTAAATGTCCAATTTTATTTTAAATTAAATATCACTATAAAAAATGATTATTAATAGTTTAATGCCGTTCTCACTGAACCCCGAGGCCGAATTTAAAGAATTTGAGCCGCGGCTCAAATAGGGTTGGTTCCACTTTAAATCATGTTCATTGTTTCAAGACTTAAGCCGGTGCTCAATTGAAACCGGTTTTTGGCGAATTTTAGACGCAGTTCAAATTCATTAAATTCTGACACTGATGTGTTTTTATTATACAGTGCAATGTTAGGAAATGATAGAAATGTTTTGGTTTAAGTGCAGTCGACACGCAGTGGGACCAATACAACTGTGGAATACAACGAGGTTATAGTGTATAGAGTGATGATGTACGCTAATTGTACTGGCCACTTACTCCACTTACTTACTGCGAAATCGTACTGCTGTATTTGATGTTTGTACTGTATGATTAGACCATAATCTCCTTACATCATTTATCAGTAAACCTTCTTGATTTTACACTTAAGCTGAATAGAAGGGCAGGTAGTTAACGACCAGCCCTCCTGGTGGAATATTAAGAGTGCAGACGACTGGTCACAAGCTATGATTTTAAATAGTCTAATACTGCAATGAAGCACGGCAATTTCAGGCCTATTTCAGGCCTATTTCACTTAATACATTGATTTTAACGGCTTACTGTCGTCTACGAATTCCACAGTTTTATGGACTGTAAATTAGTATATATTTCAGGAAAGGAAGCAGATTTGATTAGATTACTGGAACTACTCAGAATCAAGGAATTTTTATCTTCTCAATAATGCAGTCATTAAATCCTTTACTCTTATCTAAACCCTTTCATCTCTTCATTTTCTAGCAAACCATCATTTTCATAAATGGCTTCTTTCTAAATTTAATTTTTCTTTAATATCCAATCATTGTTTATTACGTTTTTCTTAAAAATCCAGTCATTGTTTAATACTCCACATTTCCCGACTACTTTTTGATTGTTTCTTACTGATTGTGGATGTTGATTTACTCTTGATTGTTTATCTAATTTACTGGATATTTTCATCTAGACTATTCTACAATATGAACATATATATTACAAACAAATAGTTTTTTTACCACCTAATCTTGGTCTTATTTATGTTTTTGTATTCTCATAGTTTCAATATTATTGAAAACTAGCTTGGGAACCCAGCGCTGCCCAGGTTACTCATAGTTACTCCCGCTGTTTACCCGCACTTGAACGATTTTACCGGGAAACTAAATTTTCGATATTAAAATCTTAAAACCAATCTAAGAACATTCCTGTGGGTCTCCCGAGTTCCCCAATCAAAATTTGGGGTAAATCAGTCCAGGGGTTTCCAAGTTATGATCGGACAAACAAACAGACAGACAAACAGAGATTACAACTTTATATTTATATAGAAGATACATGAAGCAAGTTTGAAATCGATTGATTTTTTCAAGTTAAATCGAAAAATCCAAAGAAATTCGAAATTTAAGAAACTTAAGATCAGTATTTAAACATGTATAGTTCAGTAAACCTCTGCATATATTTGCCACGAGCTCAAATTTTCTAATCCCAATATCTTTGCAACTTGGTCATGTAAACCTTTGATATCTAAGGTTTAGGACGTTGGGTTGCAAAGATATAGGGTTTAAAAATTCAGAGTTTGTGACAAATACTCAATAGTCAATTCCTTTTAAGAATAATGAGAAGATAATTAAAACTTGAAGGCTGAGACTCATGTTCTGATTTGGGATCATTTAACAAGTCTTTTCCAGGCAGAATCATCTCAAGTTCTGACTGAGGGTAAGAATACAATATTACTTTATTTGGTGATAAAGGCATTTTTCAAGGGGAACTTTTTCCCAAAGGCAAAGTGCATCTGCTCTAAAGGAAATGTCACGTAATTTTAAGTGCCCCCCCCCCCCAATTAAAAAATTGAATCATGATTCATTACCGTATCATTTACACCTTTATATAAGCCAATATTTTATGTATTAAACTTGATCAATAGCGTTCCTTCTCTATGCCGCATTAAAATTACAAGGCAACTGAGTTCACGTACTTTTGGGGACGATATGTTGGCCGCTAGATGTCTCATGCAAAATTCTTATCTGTGTAGATAGATATTTCTCCGTACATTTGACAACCAATATAGAAGACATCAAGTTGCCGACAAATGTAGTTTATGGAAGGAACGGCCTTTGTAATAAAGACAAAGGTTTAAAGGGTACCGTTGTGAGTCTGGCGTGCAAGTTTTTATATAAAGGATCACTTAAAATTACGTGTACAGTCCCGTTAAAGCTACCAAGCTTAACACTGTAAAAAAATTGCCGCCCCTAAATGCAAAAATTAAATTTAGATTTTTTTTTGCTTAAAATACATTTCTTGAATTCTAAGTTTTGTTTAAAATATCCCAAAATGCCACAATAAAAATATACTTGTCTTTTTCTCACAGAGAATATCTGAAATTTAAAAAGTTTTTAAATAAACTGGGTGAGTGTTTAGGATTGAAATTAATAATTAATTACTTCTAGAATTGAAATATAAATATTATATGAGTGTATAAAAGTATAAACTAAAAGAATATATTTATTTCTAGGATATGTAAAGAAATAAAACTGTTTATTTGTAGAATGTGAGGAACCAAATATCAGTCAGGAATATCTCCTGGAATCCAATGAATTTATTCGTTCTAAGTGTGTTGAGACAGCTGTATCCTTTATATACCTACCCCGGCCTCCTGTATCTCCAGACCTTCATGTTCAGTATCTTCATCAGCTAGATCTTCTTACTAGAGGACTTCCTCCATCCATCCTTGTACATGGAGTTAGTCCTGTTATGACAACTACTTTATAGTAGATTATTCTATATTTTCTTAATTCAATATTCTCTTAAATCCCCTCTCTAATCCCTTTTTCCAGTCAATTCTTCTATCCTTTCATATTTTTATCCTCCTTTATTCCTTTATTCTTGTATATTTCCCTCTCTTCCTTCCTCAACTTTTTTAAAGAAATAAGAAAATATCTGATTAGCTGATCAAACTTTACAACACAACTTGATCCATCCATATTTTCTAGAATTTATACAGTTCAGATTTTTACAAGAATTAACGAAATTGTAGATAATTTAAGATTATCTATAAGAAAATGATAATAAAAAGCAAACATAGTTGTTTACGAGAGAAATTATGCCAAAAAATGAAACCAATTTATTCCTGTTCTCTACCACGGCATTTTTGTAAATAATTGAGATTTTAGGTTTAGATTAAAGAACATAACTACCCCCCCCCCTTACATCTTTTTCTCTTTTTTATTAATGTGAAAAATGTTCTTTTCCTTGTCACTTACAGGTTTCAACCAATTACTGATACAGTTTTACCAATAAGGATTATAGATTTTAATTAATTTATATAATTATCTAAATTATTCCCAGTGTTTTAAGTATTTTAGATTTTCCCCTGAAGGGATTCTTCAATGTTTTTTTAAATTATTTATTTTCAATTTATTTTAGGAAAACCAAATCAAATCTTCACAAAGTTTTTTGCTTGTGCTTGGCTAATCCGCCAGAGATAAACCGGTTTTTCTGTTGAAGATCCGTTACCTGTACTTTTCATCAAATAATCTTTTTACAAAATAAACAATAAAACCAAACGATTTTTTATCTCTGTTACAGAATTTTTTTTAGAAGTGAAATTAATTAGAGATTTGTAAAATAATTTTATTGCTGAAGTTTTTTAGAAATATTATAAAATTCAAGTTTCTTTAAGCATTTTTCTTTGTCAAAATTTGTTAAAATTGAGGCCCAAGGTTCTCTTATCCAACTCCAAAAGACGAATTTTGAATTTTTCAACACTTAAGTTATGAATGGTAAAAATGTATTTCACTGTTTTCTCGAACGAGATAAAGTTTCAGATAAATAAATGGCATTTTTTCTTTAATTTGATCAAACCATTTTCATTCCTAATATTAATGTCATTGTATAAAAATGCATTTAAAAGAATTTGTAATGTATTATTCGCATAATGTAAATGTATTATATTATATCTACATGTTATGTATTATGAAACTAATATTTATTGAATTGCATTTTAACAGACGCATAATAAATATATTAATATATATATATCATCAGTTTTATTAGATAAATCAGTTGAAAACTTTCCAATATTGAAACAACTGTTGGCGTATGTTATAGATAGTGTTATTAATCGTTTTCTTTCGTTTTTTAAAAACTCTTGATAAAATTTCCAAGATTTTAAAACTATATTTTGTATGCTTCGCAATATTTTATCCTAAAAATATTTTTTACCATTTTCCGTCATAAAGCACATGTTTCTAATAAACAATTTTGAAAAAGTTTGCTGATCTGACACTATATGCCGAATTTGTACCCTGAAAGGAAATAAAGGCAAAAAACTAACTTAATGCACATCACTATTCCAGGGGATATTAGTTCCAAAACTAACACTTGCCCCATTTCTAAATGGTCCAAATCTGCAAAGTTATCTATTTCAAGAGTATGTATCTTTAATTCCAAGATGAGTAGATCAAAATTACACCAGATATTTATAAAGAATGACTAAAACTATATATTGAAGCAATAAATGTCAATTTTAAACTAATAAGGTGTGAGAATTAATTGTTGACGATTCTTGATTTCATTTTCGAACATATCATGTCGCGTTTTCGAACATATCATGTCGCGTTTTCGGAACATATCCTGGTTTTGAGACAATTACCGGAATTCATATTAATGTCAATTTTTAAGTATACGCACTTATGAAACAAAACAAGATTTTTTTATAAGATAAAATTTAAACAAAATAGGAAATAAAAACAAACTGTTCTTTTATAATTCAAAGATCATTACAGCATTTAGAAATCAAAATATTAATATCATTTGTTCTTACAATATAGATTTAACTAGAAATGCGGGAAACTATTTGTTTAAAATGATTGAAAATAAATCATCCATATTCTCTAATTTAACAAATAAAATGTGGAAACTTAGATTCTAAAAATAATTCATAAGATAATTTTTGTTTTCAGTGATTTATTTTTTAAGTTATGAAAGTGAGTTTTGTTTTGAATTGCGGATTATACTCAAAAACCGGAAAGTGGGTTTTGTCTCGAACACGCGACAATGTATCAAATTCAGGATATGTTCTAAAATGGAGAACATAACATTGTCTTGAAAACAGTCAAGAGCTTTAATATAAAAAGAACATCTATTACAATTTTAATTTAAACAAAAGTTTTAAATTGGGAATTGTTGTCCTCGTCATGTTTAATAAAATGTTGGTTATAGTTTTTATTATCGATATCTACTTTTACTCTGGATATAGGCCGGGATCCCAAAAACCCCGTCTTTCAATTTGTGCCCATTTTTAACACTCAGAATGGGCCAAGTGTTAGTTTTGGAACTAATGTCCCCTCTATTCACAGAGTGACTTTTATCTCATTTACTTCCTGACCTAGAACTCGAATTTTCCGAATACTTGTTTTCAAACCAACCCCAAACCAAACCAAACGACAATCGGACACTTAACAAACGTACAATCATTCGAAATTACGTTTACAGTCCCTTTAAAGTCCCTCAGCATCTTCCAACTTATNCCCGGTTTCCTATTTTCCCTAAATTGCAAAAAAATCTCTAAATTATCTTTTTAGAAATGCCCAGCTTCCGTTAATTTACCAGATACCTAATAAAGATAAAACTGAGTAAGGGGGCTCCTTAGTCCTTAAACTAAATCGAGATTTTTAAATCATAATTCAACGCTCTTAAGAATGGATTTTTTTTAGCAGGTCAACCAAAAAGTTAACGACTTGTTAACCAACTCTAAGGTGTTTTCCCACTCAATGGTACATTAAATGTAATGTTTGTAAAGTGAGAAGTGAGTAAGCACTAAGCACCGATATTTTGAACTCCTGCCTAGGATCCCTAAAGTTTACCGGAGGCTGTAGTTTAAAACACAGTTTCCAGGTGCCCTCGGAGTATTACAGTCAACTTGAACACTAAACTAGGTATTCTATTGTTATTGAATAGGAATTAAATAGTATTAGAGCTGGAGAATAAACCAGAAATTGTATTTATGGAGAGAATTGGGTTCTAGAAAATCAGAAATGTACTTAAAAGAGATTGTAGACGTAATTTCAAGTGGCACGTCCAATTCACAACGGTACCCTTGGTGTCGTCTGGTCAAGAATGCGTGAGATATCCATTATCTTCTATGTAAAAGTGGGATTATTTTCCATTGCTTCAATTTCAGTTTCTCTATGAAGTGACTTGCCCATTTGCTCTTATCTGCTTCAGAAACAATGGAGGAAAATTACAGAATTTAACACTTTTCTAGCTAGAAAAACCACGATATCATCAACCTTATTAGTCAGACGAAGAGTTGAAGGATACCGGTGAGCTAGGCATGTCCCTCTTTACACGTAACAATACAACATTAGTTCTTTAATGCTTTATGTTCGGATCTGCAGGAACAGCAAATTGTGGGCAACTAACTCTAAACTAAGCTTTCGGCGTGTACTGCAGTGATCTACAGTACTCTGACCGAATAAACAGCAGGGTTTAGCAGAGAGTTATCTGGATACTAAATCTATAAAGAGAAATAATTGGTATCTTATATACAGGGTGTCCCAAAAAACATGGGAATTCAGTGACGAATTTGATATCGTCTTTGTTATGAATTAGCAGTGTAATACCTAATTTCAAAAGCCATAATATTATTATGTCTGCTAGAGCTTATTTTATGAAAAGGGTAAAAGACTGTAAAGATGTGTCTATAATGTCTCCGCAAGATGAATGTACAACTGTATGCAGTCAAAACATAAACAAACAAAATGTAAACATAGCAGACGAAACTCTTACAGATTACAGCTTTCTCAGTAGGTATCACTACACTAAATCAAGGAATTATTTGAAAAGACGATATCGAATTCGTCACTGAATTCCCATGTTTTTTGGGACACCCTGTATATACTAGGCTTTTAGAGAGCTTCGCGCCCATCTTCTATTTAAATTGTGGACATGTTCTTTTTGTTTACATTTTAAAACAAAGAAGAAAAAAATTTGCGGATTTAAAAAAAAAATTGGCGGATTTCCAAGAATTTAAATTTTTTTACAAAATTAAAAACCTTTAATTAAAACACATTTTTTTTATCATTCATAAACCTTCCCTGTGGTCACGTGATGCCCCATAAAAAATTTGGGCCCGATCGGTTCAGCCGTTTTGAAGTTTATTGGATACAAACAAACAGACAGACAAGCCAAATTTATATATAGATACTGTAAAAATAGAAGATGCTCAGAGATAAAGCCACAATTAAAAGTTGAAATAGAAGATGGGCGCGAAGTGCCCTAAAAGCCTAGTATATATATACTTTGCTTGTCTGTCTGTCTGTTTCTATCAAATAAACGCCAAAACAGCTGAACCGATCGGGCCCAAATTTTTGTGGGACCTCACGTGACCCCAGGAAAGGTTTATGAATTATCAAAATTTCAAAAATTTGTGCTTAAAAGTTTTTATTTTTGTATAGTGTATATAGTATCCAGGGTTCCAAAAATACAAAAATATATAGGTTCACTTTATACTTTATTCAGTGTTCTAGTAGTACAAGAGAGTAAACCTGAACCTATATACTGTATCCAGGGTTCTCATAGTACAAGTGAGTAAACCTAAACCTATATACTGTATCCAGGGTTCTAGTAGTACAAGAGAGTAACCCTGAACTTATATACTGTATCCAGGGTTCTCATAGTACAAGTGAGTAAACCTGAGCCTATATACTGTAGCCAGGGTTCTAGTGGTACAAGAGAGTAAACCTGAACTTATATACTGTATCCAGGGTTCTAAAAGTACAAGAGAGTAAACCTAAACCTATATACTGTATCCAGGAGTCTCATAGTACAAGAGAGTAAACCTGAACCTATATACTGTATCCAGGGTTCTAGTAGTACAAGAGAGTAGACCTGAACCTATATACTGTATCCAGGGTTCTAGTAGTACAAGAGAGTAGACCTGAACCTATATACAGTATCCAGGGTTCTAGTAGTACAAGAGAGTAGATCTGAATCTATATACTGTATCCAGGGTTCTAGTAGTACAAGAGAGTAGACCTGAACCTATATACTGTATCCAGGGTTCTCATAGTACAAGAGAGTAAACCTGAACCTATATACTGTATCCAGGGTTCTAATAGTAACCTAAACCTACATGTTCCATCCAGTTTTCTAAACCTATATATTGTATAAAGATACGTTTGTATTCCGAGAGAAAGGAAGGGTTGGGAGGAGCTGGTTAATGTAAGATAAAACTTAACATTTGCATAAAATACCAATTTTCTTTCTTCATAATGTTTTCGTATTTTTACATCTGCAGGTGGTTTAATTATCACGTGTCTATAGGAACGTGACATAATTGTCACAATTCTAATTAATTAATTACTTTCTTCTACATTTTACAAAGATATGGCACTGGATTCAATTTTTGTAAATTTTAGAATTCATTACGCGATCAAATGATTCATTAATTACTTCTACACATTACATATGGACACTGAAGTTAGTTTTTGTAAATTAAGAGTGTATAAAGATCGGATTTAATTAATAGGGAGAAGTAGTTAAACTAAATATGGATAGTTGAACTACTCTCATCTAGTATGAATCTAGA